AATAGCGCAAGTTGGCCGATCACTTTATCTCTGTAGTTCTTGATTTAGGATCCAATTTTGAGAAAACACATCCTGATAATTTCTCTGTTCGATTTTCTTTTTAGAAGGAATGCATAGGAGGCTTGTCGTGTTTGGAATTTGCTTCTAAGACAACTCCCTATGTGTTGTTTGCGTGGATTGTTATTATTAACTGTGAACGAACATTTTGTGTTCTTACAGTCTAATCCAGAGAATACGGTTGGAGTTCTGACAATGGCGGGAAAAGGTGTTCGTGTGCTAGTCACTCCGACCACTGACCTTGGCAAGATACTGGCATGCATGCACGGTTAGTTTCATTTATTCTAGTTATTGTAGTTCGTAGCATCGCAGACCTACCACCAGATACCAATCTTCTGTCCTTAAGTGTTGGCCCTTTTCTTCTATTCTCCTTCACTTGTCTGTAGTCATTGAAAAATTGGAGTTCTTTTGAATTTGTATTGTATTGTTATAGAGAGGAAGTCACACCAGTTCTCCTGGATTCCTGGTTATTTCTGGACTTAAAAGCAATATATTGTTGGATAAGAAATTCCCTACTTCATATTGCTCTGTAGTTTGTTCTATTAACTAGTTTTAGTCCATCTTATGTATTTTAAGTCGTTTAAACTACATCCCAAACTTTAAATCTAGGCCTGGAGATAGGTGGTGAGATAAACCTCGCAGCTGGCATCCAGGTGGCTCAGTTGGCTCTTAAGCATCGTCAGAACAAAAAGCAGCAACAAAGGATTATAGTATTTGTTGGCAGGTACGTGCTTTAAAAGTTTTTTTTACCCTCGCTACTACCATTACGGTACTCCAATAAAATATTTAAAGAAGTTTTTGAGGCTTATGCCAAGATGCTCACCTCGGGGTTGCAATGTCACAAGGGTGTTTATGCTTAGGTTAGATGTGGTTGAATGATGTTTTGAATTAGAAGTTCACCTGACTTAATAACCCTCGCTGATTGATGAACTCCACTTGAGCCTGTAATGGTTGAACAAATCCAAATGCATTAAAAAAAAAAAAGAAAAAAAAAAAAAAAAAAAAAAAAAAAAAAAAAAGAAAAAAAAAGAAAAGAAAACTCTGTAGCATGAAGATGACTACTGAATCTTATTAAAAAAAAAAAAAATTGAAATCTGATAAACTAACAATTTACCGCAACTGTCAGCATTGACATAATTTAAAGTCCACATTAATATTTAATACCATGAGAAGCTGTTTGAAGTGAGTCAACTTCTCTGTTTCAGAGCAACACGTGTGCTTCTAAATCTCAGTGTGGAACAAGGTGTTCTCAGAATGGATAAATCTCAACCAGCCACGACTAAAAGTTTAAATAGCATAATAATTCAGAATGACACCTTGTTCAATTGTTCAACTTACCTATAAGCGTCATGTTCAATGATTAGTGCTCTATACATTTGGTGAATAAAGGCTCCTCAAATTCAAATGATAAATCTTAATACGACCTTACTTGAACAGGATCTGTTCTATAGGTTAAACAACTGTGTCCTTTAGTCTAAAATGATAAATCTTAATCGGCCAATATGGATGCAAGGAAATGTAAATTATGTGTTTTGTGGTAAGGCCTCCCAAAAGGGTAATATTCAAAGGAAGACTTTAATTACATGGGATATTTTCCTTCTTTAACTGGTTTATGAAGATTTCGAGAAATTAAGATCCTGCCAAGATGAGCTTTAATAATTCACTTTTAGCTTTCTGAAACAAAATTTTTCCATCTATATTAATTTATCATTACAAAATGGCTGATGCAGTCCTGTCAAACATGAGAAAAAGTTACTGGAGGCGATTGGAAGGAAGTTGAAGAAGAACAATGTCACCCTCGATATTGTTGATTTTGGCGAAGAAGATGATGGCAAACCTGAGAAACTGGAAAGTCTTCTGGCAGCTGTGAATAGTAATGACACCAGTCACATTGTTCATGTTCCTGCTGGTCCAAATGTACTCTCTGATGTACTCATCAGGTTTGGTTTTGAGTCTGTTTTATTTCAAGATTTTTTGTACTTTTTGTTTCATAACACTTTGTATCCTCGTTTTAAGGTTTCTTTATTTGATTTCAGTACTCCTATCTTTACTGGAGACGGGGAAGGTGGAAGTGGTTTTGCAGCAGCTGCTGCGGCTGCTGCTGCTGGTGGCGTATCTGGTTTTGATTTTGGAGTTGATCCCAACTTAGATCCTGAACTTGCCCTTGCTCTTAGAGTTTCAATGGAAGAGGAGAGGGCCAGACAAGAAGCAGCTGCTAAAAAGGCGGCAGAGGAGAATACAAAGCAAGAAAAAGAAGCAGAGCAGCCATCTGGCTCACAGGATGCAACTATGACTGAGCGTCCTGAACTTGCAACTTCTGATGCCGAAAACAAGACTGCTGATATAATGGTCAGTGTAGCTTGGCTTTTAGATAATTATATTCTAGCAATTTTTTGTTTTGTTTTGTTGCTAGACTGCTCTTTTAAAATCCAACTTTTCAGAGTAATTTGATTTTAACCGTTAGCCTTCGAACATATTGTTCTCTTTCTTCTATTCCGATCTGAATAAACTTTGCTATCCTTGAGAGACGTAGTTAGCAGAAGGGCAAAAACAATTCTTATTATTTGAGTTGATTCTGGATTATAGGATGATGATAATGCTCTGCTACAACAAGCCCTTGCTATGTCGATGGATAATCCTTCTGCTACCAGTGACATACGAGACATTGACATGTCTGAAGTAACATCAGATGATCCTGATTTGGCACTTGGTAATTCCTTGCTGTTTCACGTTTTCCCATTTTTTAGGCTTTCACCGACTCACGAGTACATACGTGTTTGCTTTCTCTTCATCTAGCATCTTTTTGTCATTGGAGTTTCTAGAGAAAACTCCTCAAATCATTACTCGATCACCCTATGGGCTGCATGATATTGTTCATGCTGACATGTTGCTGATTAATAACAAACGAGAGGACTAATTATCCGTAATGATAATTGATTGTTGAGAAGTACAAACATTTGAGTTTGGCTAACTTGTCCGTTTCCAAGACAGCACCTAGTTAGCTAAATTGACCATTAGACATCGCAAATAGTGTGAATGTGGGTCTAACGTTTGTTAGACACCACATAAATTGTAATTTAGAAGGAAAACAATAAAATTTTGAAAGCGAAATACATAATATGGTTGTGGTATTATGTATGACTTTGAGTTTTTCCGTATAAGAATGATATATGTTTTCATAAACATATCCTTGTTGCGTTTGAGGCTAAGATTTTGAATTAATGACGTGTCATTGTGTCCCTATTGTGTGCTATCTGTATTTGTGATTCATAGCTTGATGGATAGACTGGTTTGATCATTTTTCTTCATGTCCATACAAAACCATCAATCTGATAGTTGGCTTGCAGCTCTTCAGTTATCGGTGCAGGAAGGGTCTAGTGATTCGACAAGTCAGACAGATATGAGCAAATTGTTGGCCGATCAGTCTTTTGTGTCTTCTATTCTAGCTTCAGTATGTATACATAGTCTCAGCTTTTCTCCCATATTTTTCTTTTCTATGTTGAGAAATTAAAGCATATTCTCTTTGTAGTTTCTCGGCTTCCAGTGAAATAGTAACAAAAAAAATTCCTTTGCAGCTTCCAGGCGTAGATCCAAATGACCCTTCTGTAAAAGATTTGCTTGCTTCCATGCAAAGCCAAGCCGAGGTGAGTCGTGTCAACTTTCGCATATTTAACTGATGAAATTGCAAGGATAACTGTTTTGACCAGAGTGTTCGGTCAAGTACCTGTCTGCAGTTTGGTCCTTTTGTTAGTCCTCTTGTCTTGTAAAAAGTTAAAACTTGTTTTCAGAATTGATTTGATTAAGAAGTGAAAATCAGGCCAAAGTGAGTATAGTTTCTTCTTTTTTTTTGAAGTCAAAGGTTCAACTCATATTTCCATTGGTTGCACTAAAAACAGAAAACTAAAGATGAAATCGTTATCAAATAGTGTTAATTAGTCGACATTTAGAATATGTTTAGTACTAGGCTCTCTCTCTTTTCGTGGATTTCCTTTTCTTCGTCTTTTGACAAAATATGTTAACCGAAAACTTTCAACATAACTAGGCAAAGCCAACATGGATAAATGAATTTGAATGTGGATTACATTTTTTGCTGCACGCAGGATAAGAAAAATGAAGACAAAGCATCAAAGGAAGATGAAAAATGAGGCATTTCAAGCTCGGGTTCGGCCAAGGAAGATTCTTACCCTCAATTCCTTCAACATTCTCTCCCGTCTCTAAATTGCTATCTTTTCGTATCAAAATATATGGTATCTGCCGTGTGCCTTACTCCATTCTGGATCTTGATATCTCATCTTCTTCATTGTCAGACAAAGACCCTACAAGTTCTTCCCTAATGTGACAGGATAGGACCAATAGCTTCAGAACATTATTTTCCTTCATATCCTCATTCAACACATTTTGTTTATTCAATGAAAATGATATGTTTGTGTCTGAATGTGTTTATATAAGTCTTTTAACAATAGGTCTTTAAACGGTACCTTCTAGAAATGAAACTCAGGATAAAATATAATAAATCAAAGTTATGCTATTTTAAAAATACATTATTAAATAAAATTCATGGAAGGATGAGAGTGGCTTCTCGATATGTTTTTGTTATTTTCTGTGATGAAAGAAAGAAAGGAAGTTATCGTCAAAATGTGGCTTTAAATTAATTTATAATATCGATTGGGAAAATGGACGATCAATTTAAGAAACTTCTGATAAGGATAAACCTGCACTGTCACTCTGTCGGTTGGGGCCCAAGAATAACTTCCATATTGTTATCATTTTACCCAAAAAAAAAAAAAAAAAAAAAAAATTTGAAAAAAGGGAACAATCATTAACTTCCCACCGTAAAATCCGACCGTCGTTTTCCCTCCACATTCATCGTGGAAGTGATGGCCATTAAATTCCCTACCAACCACTGAAAATCAGCTCCCTTATTTTACTTATCCAAACCGACAGACAACTCTCCCCCGTTACAATCTTCCTTATTGTGGACATTTCAGTGGATAACACAAAATCTTAGTTTAATTCATTAAGCTCGATGAAAAGCCCTTCATATTCCTGAATCTGTATTGCCCATGATTCGAGTTCAAGTTTCTATTATGGAAATTGAACGGACAGATCAAGGAACTCGTCAATGGAGGTCAATAATATCTCTTGTACGGAGGTTTGGTTTCAAGGTTTTAAAGACCCGACAGAGTCATGGTCGTTTTCTAAGCCGGCCAGAAAAATCCAAAAGGCAAGAGGCCCCATCCCATTTTTTTTCACCTCTCGCCTATATTTTGCTGTATGAACAATGGAGTTGGGGGAATCGGCGTTGAATAATGGAGAAGCAACCCAGTTCTGGGCTACCCTTTTTGTTTCTGGTTCTTGTGCTGATATCCTTTTGTGTTGAAGTGAGCTGTAATTTTGTGAGCTATGACACTGGTGGTGGTGCTGTGGAAGGCAAGTTGAATGTTCACTTGGTTGCTCATTCGCACGATGATGTTGGTTGGTTGAAGACGATCGATCAGTACTATGTTGGTTCAAATAACAGTATTCAGGTTAATTGATATCTATGATCTTGTGTTCATCATAGATTTTCTTGGATTTGGATGCCATTTTTTGATGGTTGAATTTGATGGTGTTCATATAGGGAGCGTGTGTGCAGAATGTGCTTGATTCGGTTGTTAGTTCTTTGCTTCGTGATTCAAACAGGAAGTTTGTGTTTGCTGAAATGGTAAGTTCTTTTCTGCCTGTTCTAATCACTGGGATTCATTCTTTTGTGAGGGTATCTAGAATGAGTACTTTTAACAAAAGCATAAGCTAAATGAGATGAGCTCAATGATTTGTGGCTTGGCTATGTACTCTTGAAAAGTACTTTTAAAGCGATTACTGGTCAATTCCTTGAGTAAAACTGTGACGGCCTAGGCATACTGCTAGTAGATATTGTCATTTTTCCCTCTCGATTTTTCCCTCAAGGTTTTTAAAACACGTCTGTTAGAGGGAGGTTTCTACACCCTTATAAAGAATGCTTCGTTCTCCTCCCCAACCGATGTGGGATCTCACAATCCACCCCTCTTCGGGACCCAACGTCCTTGTTGGCACTTGTTCCCTTCTCTAATCGATGTGGGACCCCCCAATCCACCCCCTTCGAGGCCCAACGTCTTTGCTAGCACACCACCTCGTGTCCACCCCCTTCAAGGCTCAACCTCATTGCTGGTATATCGCCTGGTGTCTATCTTTGATACCATTTGTAATGACCCAAGCACACTGCTAGCAGATATTGTTTTCTTTGGACTTTACCTTTCAGACTTCCCTTCACGGTTTTTAAAACGCGTATGCTAGGGGGGGTTTCTACACCCTTGTAAAAAATGCTTCGATGTGAGATCTCACAATCCACCTCCTTGGGGGTCGAGCGTCCTCAATGGCACTCGTTCCCTTCTCTAATCGACATGGGACTCTCCTTCAGGGCTCAACGTCCTTGCTAGTACACTGCCTCGATTCCACTCCCTTCGGGGTTTAGCCTTCTAGCTAGCACATCGCCCAGTGTCTGGCTCTGATACCATTTGCAATGGCCCAAGCACACCGGTAGCAGATATTGTCTTCTTTGGGCTTTCCCTCAAGGTTTCAAAAATGCGTCTGCTAGAGGGAGGTTTCCACACCCTTTTAAAAAATGTTTCGTTCTCCTCCCCAATGGATGTGAGATCTCACAAAAACACTCTACACACTCTTTTTTGGGGTGTTTTTATCTTAATTTCGAACGTGAAAATTTTGTGTGAAACAGCCAAAAAACACTCCCAACCATAGTATATATACATATAGTGTTCCATCTTAAATTTGATATCTCTATCCATGTTGAAGTTAACACTATGGATCTCCTAAATTAGGCAGCAACAGCATGAGAAAGCTATGTAAATTGTTTTTAATGAAGTTCATTGTGAATGGCTTAGGCATTTTTCCAGCGATGGTGGTCACAGCAAAGTCCCCAGCTTCAAAAACGAGTGAGAGAACTTGTTGAAGTTGGCCAGTTGGAATTCATGTATGCAATTATAAAACAACTTAGCCTTTCTCTGAGCCTTATATTGAGGATATTTACCAATACTTTTCTGTATCTTTAGAAATGGAGGTTGGTGTATGCATGATGAAGCAACATGTCATTACATAGACATGATTGACCAAACCACTCTGGGGCACAGCGTTATAAAGGAAGAGTTCAACACGGTTCCTCGTGCTGGATGGCAAATTGATCCATTCGGCCACTCTGCCGTGCAAGCTTATTTACTCGGTGCTGAGGTTCTTTGTTTCGTCGATCTCCAATCCCATTTTTCCTTAGTTTTTTTACCATGTATTCACTTTTCCTTGATGAAACTAGCTTGGCCACGCTCACCTGTGTTGTAGTTCTGGCATGGGAACTTCTAACGCATAGTTCTCGACTCCCGTGCTTTTTCCAGGTCGGTTTCGACTCTGTACATTTTGCAAGGATTGATTATCAGGATAGAGCAAAGCGGATGGTCGATAAATCTCTAGAAGTCGTATGGCGTGGCTCCAAAACATTTGGTTCTTCATCTCAGGTGTACCAAACTCATCAGATTTACTCTCCTACAATGCCATTCTTTCTTACCTGCTGTTGTAAATATACTTATTTTTGTACTTGCTGTTCGCTTGCAGATCTTTGCAAACGCCTTCCCTGTACATTACAGTCCTCCTCCTGGTTTTCACTTTGAAGTGAACGACAACACCAATATTATTCAGGTCTAATGTTTGTTAACGAAAGACTACTCGAAATCCTTGGTAACGTTCATCTTAACTAATATAATAAAACTGCAGGATGATCCTTTACTTTACGACTACAACGTTAAACAACGAGTTAATGATTTTATAGATGCAGCTCTGACCCAAGTAATATCTCCACTTGATGATTTGCATTCTGGTTTTAGGCTTCAGGGAAACATTGGTTAATTATTTGCACTGTTGTATCATGTATGTGCAGGCTAATGTCACTAGGACTAATCATATTATGTGGACAATGGGTGATGATTTTCAGTACCAATATGCTGAGTCCTGGTTCAAGCAGATGGATAAGTTTATTCACTATGTTAAAAAGGTTTGGTTGACCGAAACACGATTCTTTGGCACGTGTTTTGCATTCTGATTACTGGGTTACCGTTTCCCACTTGTTTTTGTTGTTTTGGGAATGCATAATTTATCAGGACGGTCGGATTAATGCTTTGTATTCAACACCATCCATATATACTGATGCAAAAAATGCAGCGAATGAATCATGGCCGTTGAAAACCGATGATTTTTTCCCGTGAGTCCTGCATCATCTTTTATGTTTAACTTTGTTTTGGTATTATGTAATTGAACAATTTGCTTCCACATTGATAATAACAGGTATGCTGATCGTGAACATGCGTACTGGACCGGCTTTTTTACAAGTCGTCCAGCGTTTAAAGGATATATAAGGATGCTGAGTGGATATTACTTGGTATGTCATAAGGGTAGCTGAGGATTTATTAAAGAGTGACTAAATCTATGTTGGAGTTTTAACTTTTGGAATGTTACAGTAACGGCGCAAACCCACCACTAGCAGATATTGTTCTCTTTGGGTTTTTCCCTTTCGGGATTCCCCTCAAGGTTTTTAAAACACATTTGTTAGGGAGAGGTTTTCACACCTTGTAAAGAATGCTTCGTTCTCCTCCCTAACCGATGTGGGATCTCACAATCCACCCCCTTTGGAGCCCAGCGTCCTCGTTGGCACTCGTTCCCTTCTCCAATTGATGTGGGATCCCCCAACCCACCCCCTTCGGGTCCCAACGTTCTTGCTGGCACACCGCTTCGTGTCAACCCCTCGGGGCTCAGCCTCCTCACTGGTGTGCTCGGTGTCTGGCTCTGATGCCATTTTGTAATGGTCCAAGCCCACCGCTAGTAGATATTGTTCACTTTGAACTTTCCCTTTCAAGCTTCTCCTTAAGGTTTTTAAAACGCGTCTGCTAGAAAGAGGTTTCCACACCCTTGTAAAGAATGCTTCGTTCTCCTCCCCAACCGAGGTATGATATCACAGTTACAATCTCTAACATTTTGTTGGCCCCTTGAATAAAGCTGCTGAAGATCTTCAATTGTAATGCCAAGTTGAACTGCTTGCTCATAGCTCTTAAATTTCTTGGTACATGTTAAAAGTCCACATCAGTTGAATAATCTTCTGTTTCAAAATAGGCAGCCCGACAGCTCGAATTCCTTGTTGGAAGGAGATCCAGTGGCCCAAATACTTATAGTCTTGGCGATGCTTTGGGGATTGCACAGCACCATGATGCAGTGACTGGTACTGCTAAGCAGCATACTACAAATGACTATACGAAACGGCTTGCTGCAGGATCCTCTGAGGTGGGTTCCATATTTCTCGCTCGAGACTCGGTTGGATCCCATATTCGCACTCTAGTTTACCCTGTGTTCTTCTTGTAAGCTTAAATATATCTTAGCTTTTAAACTAAAGACAGTGGAAACATTTACAGGCTGAAGCAGTAGTCAATTCTGCCCTTGTTTGCCTTGGACAAAAGAAATTGGGTGATCATTGCGAGATATCAAAAACACTAAGCCAGGTGTTGTTTTGTTGTTGCTTGGATCTCTGACGTTATTTTTATAAGTTCTTCATTTTTGGGTCACTCAGATCCTTTTTCTTATTATTTTGTTGGAACTGTTGCACTTTATCTGAAATTCCCTTTATTTTTTGTTAAGTAGTGCCCGTTACTCAATATCAGTTTCTGCCCACCAACTGAGCAAGATATTCAAGAAGGGAATAGTTTGGTAATGTTCCCTTCCTTTCCCTTTCCTTCGAAAACACGCTCTTCAAAGTTTTCAACTACAATGTGACGAGTAAACGTGTCTGCGGTCAGGTCGTGGTGGTGTACAACCCGCTTGGATGGATTCGTAACGATATTGTTAGAATACCAGTGAGTATAAACTTCCTTTTGCTTGCTCGGTTTCACATTCTTGACAATTGATTGACTTTGATCATTACTATATCATCTTCAATATGAATGGGAAGAGAAGACTCGAATTTGTTTTATTCATGTAATCTGAAAAGGAAAACTTTCATCAGGTTCATGATGCTGATCTTGTAGTCCAAGATATCTCAGGCAAAACCATTGAGTCGCAATTTCTAGCCATTGATAATGTCACGAAAAACATAAGCGAGTTCTATGTGAAGGCCTACTCGGGACGGGCAAGGGGACAATTTCCCAAGTACTGGCTTCTGTTTCAAGTGTCGGTTCCTCAACTTGGATGGAACACGTACTTTATCTCTAAAGGAAGTGGTGGAGGTAAATATTTGTCGTTCTATCGATGTCTATGTCGTTTTTCCTTTCTCGTGACGAAGAACAGTGGACCTCTTTTGAATTCGAGCGTTATGATCTCTCCACTGTTCTTAGAAGTGGATCTTAAGATGTGCTTATCTGCTGAGAAAATCATTGAAATCCCATAAAAAAAAAGTTATATGGGACTTCTAACTCACTTTTGTACCAAAATTATTCAGGCAAAAGAAGATCTAAATTTCTTCCGACTGACACTGACAGTCAGAAGGATACCGTTGTTGTTGGACCTGGCCATTTGAAGATGTCCTTTTCTATTGCTTCTGGTCAACTAAAACGAATGTACAATTCAAAAACCGGGGTAAATTGTCTCGCCTTTTCCACTCGAAGTTCTTTTAGCATTAAAAGGTTGACATACGTCGCTCATCGTATACTGCTTGGCTGGTGATTATATGCATTTTGTTAATTTCGAAGTTTTGATGCATGTTTTGTTAGAAATCACGACTCTCTATAATGGTATGATATTATTGTTCACTTTGAGCATAAGCTCTCATGACTTTACTTTTGGTTTCCCCTAAAGGCCTCATGCCAATGAGGATGTATTCCTTACTTATAAACCCATGATCAACCCCTTAATTAGCCAATGTGGGACTCCTCTCCCAACAATTCTCCCCTCGACCAAAGCACATTAGAGAGCCTCCCGGAGGTCTATGGAGCCCTCGAACAGCCTCCCCTTAATCGAGGTTCGATTCCTTCTTTGAAGTTCTCGAACAAATTACACCCTTTGTTCGACACTTGAGTCACTTTTGACTACACCTTTAAGGCTCACAACTTCTCTGTTCGACATTTGAGGATTCTATTGACATGACTAAGTTAAGAGCATAACTCTGATATCATATTAAGAATCACGACCCTTCACAATCGTATGATATTATCCACATTGAGCCTAAGCTTTCATGAGGCCTTTTGGGGAAACCAAAAGCAAACCCATGAGAGCTTATGCTCAAAGTGGACTGTGATTCCTAACCTATTTAACTTAATTATGAATGATTGATCTCGTGATCTTACCGTGATATTTACTCAATTTTTGTTTGTTTTGTCTTTGGAGTTTATGATGTTTACAAAATTAACTGAGAAATCTCCATATGCCAGGTTGATGTACCAATACAACAAAGCTATCTTTGGTATGCTTCAGCTACAGGTTCCATTAACAATAACCAGGTCGCTCAAACTCCTTCAACGAAGATATTTCATGAAATTGATATCTGGCATATACTAATATGACTTTACCATAATTTCTTCATGTAGAATTCTGGTGCATATATTTTTGTGCCTCAAGGGGAACCAAATATCATTTCAAGATCAGTAAGCCTCGTGTTTCCCTTGTTCTTTTTATGTAATATTGTAACAGCCGAAGTCTACCACTAGCAGATATTGTCCTCTTTGAGCTTTTCCTTTCGGGCTTCCCCTCAAGGTTTTAAAATGTGTCTGCTAGGGAGAGGTTTCCACATCCTTATAAAGAATGTTTTGTTCCCTTCTCCAACCAATGTGGGATCTCACAATCCACCTCCTTTCGGAGCCCAGCGTCCTCATTGACACTTGTTCCCCTCTCCAATCGATGTGGCAGATATTGTCCTCTTTGGACTTTCCCTTCTGGGCTTCCCCTCAAGGTTTTAAAATGTATTTGCTAGGGAGAGGTTTCCATCCCCTTATAAAGAATGTTTCGTTCCCCTCTCCAACCAATATGAGATCTCACAGATATGCATCAATATGTTTACTTTCTTGTATTTATTATGTTCCAAGCTTCTTTTTCCTCATTTTCATGTTGAACTCAACAGGTTCCTATGGAAATCATTCGTGGACCGCTGGTCGATGAGGTCCACCAACAATTCGGTCCGTGGGTATACCAGGTTGCTTGCTAAAAATAGAATGAATTTGACAAAGGAACTGTCCATTTGGATCATATCTGTTCATGGCTTAATCTTTGAGTGTATGGTTGTGTATTAGGTCGTTAGACTTTACAAAGACAGAGAGCATGCTGAATTTGAATTCACTGTGAGTATGCTGAAGCTTTATTCTCAAACTGCTCTGCTTTTCATCTTCCTGTTTGCAAAAGTCCCATACTTGTTGATATCTTAAGCGTTCATTTGAATGGTTCTGGTAAAATTCTACTCTCAAGGTTGGTCCAATTCCAGTGGACGATAGTGTGGGAAAGGAGGTCATCACGAGATTGGTGACGAATATGGTAACGGATAAGGTGTTTTACACTGATTCGAACGGGAGAGACTTTTTAAAGCGGGTAATTAGCATACAAATGTTCTACTTTCAGTTTGAATTATCTTGTTCTGCACCATTTCTGTGAGATCCCACGTCGGTTGGAGAGGGGAACGAAACATTCTTTATAAGAGTGTGGAAACCTTTTCCTAGCAGACGCGTTTTAAAATCTCGAGGGAAAACCCAAAGAGGACAATATCTTCTAACAGTGGGCTTGGGCTGTTATAATTTCTATTTGTTGTTACCATGAGTATTATTTGCAGGTTCGAGATTATAGACAAGACTGGAATCTCTCTGTGAACGAACCACAGGCGGGAAACTATTACCCGGTAATGCTCCACGACTTGATTGACTGTGATAAAGTTCATTAATCAAGTAGATAGTATAGGGGCCATGACCTTTGCTCTGTTGGGATGTTCTTCTCAGCTCAACCTCGGGGTTTACGCTACCGATAAAAAGACTGAATTATCCGTGTTGGTCGATCGTGCCACCGGAGCAGCCAGCATTAAAGATGGACAAGTAGAGTTAATGCTTCATAGGTTGATTTGCTTTCTCACATTCTTATTCTCTGATACTTGCTTCAGGATACAAATTATCATAGACATTGGAATGCTAAGTTGTTCGTTTTTCATTAATGCAAAAGGCGCACTATCTTGGACGACAGTAGAGGAGTCGGGGAACCTCTCGACGAAATGGTGTGTCTTGAAGACAGTTGTCAAGGGTTAACGGTATAGTATTCGACTGTAACACGATTCTCGTTCGAGTTCAGTTTCTGTTTGAAGGAGTTTCTGATGTTTTTCATTGATAAACTACAAAACTGAATCTTATGCTTTCCTCATATCTCATTGACAATCTTTTTATCAGGTGAAGGGAAATTACTATGTGAACATCGACAAACTGGGTTTGGGAGCTCGTTGGCGCCGAAAAACGGGCCAGGAAATTTACTCCTCGCTTCTCTTAGCTTTCGCACACGAGGTATGATATAGGAATACTGTAAATAACATCCAAATTCCATCTCTTGGTTGTAATATCTACTGTTTGTACAGAAAAGGGAGAGCTGGATAGCATCTAAGGTGACTAAATCAACAACAATGGATCCAAATTACAGCTTCCCTCTCAATGTTGCCTTGATTACTCTTCAGGTGATCACTGCAGCATCGACTTCGTTTTTCGCTCTACGCTCTCTTTGTGAGATCCTACATCGGTTGAAGAGGGAAACGAAACATTCCTTATAAGGGTGTGGAAACCTCACCTTAACAGACACGTTTTAAAATCTTGAGGGAAAACCCGAAAGAGAAAACCCAAAGAGGACAATATCTGCTAGTTGGATTTGGGTTATTACAAGTGATACCAGAGCTAGACATCGGGCAGGGTGCCAGCGAGGACGTTGGGCCCCTAAGGGGGGTAGATTGTGAGATCTCACATCAATTAACGAAACATTTCTTATAAGGGTGTGGAAACCTCCCTCTAACCGACACATTTTAAAACCTTGAGGAGAAACCCGAAAGGGAAGTTACACTCTCGCTTTCTCTCAAACTATTAGTTCTGCAGGAGCTGAAAGACGGAAGAGTATTAGTCCGGTTGGCACATCTATATGAGGTAAAACAAACATCCCACCGAATTGGCTCTGTCAAAAACTACAAATCATTTAGTTTATAAGTGAATCCGAGCTAGTCGTAACGATTTCGACTGCGATCTGTTCAGGCTGGAGAAGATCCTGAATATTCAAAAATGGCTAAAGTGGAACTGAAGAGAATGTTCTTCAAGAAAATGGTATCTAAACAAGAACCATCTCAAGAATGTGAAGTAAAATGAAGGTTTTAACCTGTTTCCATGGTGGGGTTCTGTTTTTTTTCAGATAAATGAGGTGCAGGAGATGAGTTTATCAGCAAATCAGTTGAAATCAAAGATGAAAAAGATGTCATGGAACGTTGAGGGAGACGGCAAAACAGAAGCCACCCCAGTTAGAGGTGGCCCTATTGACCACTCAGCTCTTGTTGTGGAGTTGGGCCCAATGGAGATTCGCACTTTCATATTGAAATTTTGACTCAAAATTTCATCCCCCTCTATGTAACTTAAATATTTTCAGCAATAAAGTTGAGAGTTCGACATCATTGCCTCTCGACCTAAATTCACCGCTAGTAAATATTGTCCATTTTGAACTTTTTCTTTCAGGCTTTCTCTCAAGGTTTCAACATCTTTACAAAGAATATTTTGTTTCTCTCTCCAATTGATTGGGATCTCACAATTATCTTTCTTTGGGACTCAGCATTCTCGCTAGCACTCGTTCTTCTCTCCAATCGATGTGAGATCTCATAATCCACTCCCTTTTACGACTCAGCGTCCTCAATGGTACACACTGCTCGGTGTCTACCTGCCTTTGAGGCTCAACGCCCTTACTACCATACTGTTCGATATTTGGTTCTAATACTATTTGTAACCGCCTAAATCCACTATTAAGTATTTTGATTTAAGTTCTTTTCTTTTTGAGAGGTGGAATAGAATAACCCTTATCATACATCTGTAATGCATTGGATGTCTCATAATAGGTCCCATTCTTCTACCCTTTCTCGGGAGTCGATGACTATTCAAAGCTATTACCTTGACACCAAAGAAGAGTTCGACCCAATACTTTATTTCTGTCCAAGTTGATCCTGATTCGACATTAGAAGTATATTGATTTTCCCCCATAACTGAGTATTTGGACTTTCCCTCTCGAGTTTCCTCTCAAGGTTTTTAAAAGGGAAATGTTTGAATACCCTTATAAATAATGTTTTGTTCTCCTCTAAAACAGACGTGGGGTCTCATAGAAACTCTCTTCATTGAGTTTCCTCGTATCTTTTATTAGCATATGTCTTAATCATTGGAGCTATGACATCACTTTTAAGCTAATTTTTTATGCTCGTTTTTTAACCTTACTACTCACTAACCCCGTTAAAAGAATTTTTGTCAGAAATGACGAAAAATTTGATCCTAAGCAAAATTATGAAAACTTGCGCCCAAAACAAGTGGTATCCATATGGGGATAATTTAGAATTATTTTGTCAATCTAGTCGAATAAAAGGTCTCTGTTTACAGATGTGGACCAAATATATATATGAACAGGTCATGCTTAATGAAAAAGAAAATTGAGTGATTGATACCTTGTTGCTCAAGTTGGGATTTTTCTCTATAATTCCCGCTGCAAGCAGAGCGCGAGAGAAATAGTAAGAGCTGAAGCGAGAGAACCATGGCTAGATACGATAGGGCAATCACTGTCTTCTCCCCTGACGGTCATTTGTTTCAAGTCGAATACGCTCTCGAAGCTGTGCGGAAAGGTAACGCCGCCGTTGGTGTTCGTGGCACCGATACTATCGTCCTCGGTGTTGAGAAGAAGGCTGCGCCTAAGCTCCAAGACTCCAGGTACTTCCGTTTCATTGTCAGTTCCAGCTTGTGGGTGGATCTATTTTAAATGGGGAAATGGAATGTGAAGGTCTGAGATTTACTGATTTCTTTTGGGATTCTGTATGGTTCAGTGTTCGAATTTTTTGATCGGTTTGGTGGTTTTCTGATTAAATGCCATGGTATGTTTTACATAATTTAACTGATCGGGCATGGTGCACTGTAGAAATTGGGATTTGGAATTCCCTTCCAAAATGGTTGATGGTTCTCTGGGTAACGAACGCGTATAATTGTAGTTTTTCGTGATAATTCCCTGCCAAAATGGCTGATGGTTGGCGTTTAATGATTTTTGACGTTGTTTTCTATATTCCAATTGTTGCAACTGGTGGATAGTAGTTCGAATCATCCCGTTATCTGCTTATTTCATGCGATTTTGTTCTATTCTGGTGATATCATTTCAATAAATGGTGCCTGGTGGTGTCCCTTGCTTAACCTTGCTGGTTTGTTGTACTCGTTGGACTGCTTGCTTTGCTATACTAAGATGACTACGTTTTATGCCAATAATCTCGGTATCAGGAATAATCGTCTTGGCTGAACAAACGCCCATGTTCTATGTCCTTACCATAATTTGTAACTGATGGAGCATTTTTCATTCATAAATTTAGTCAAATAACCATTACTGATATTCCCCTTTTATTTTCAGATCTGTGAGGAAGATTGTGAATCTTGATAACCATATTGCACTAGCTTGTGCTGGGCTCAAGGCAGATGCACGTGTCTTGATAAATAGGGCTCGGATCGAGTGTCAAAGCCATCGGCTTACAGTTGAGGATCCAGTAACTGTTGAGTATATTACTCGTTACATTGCAGGTCTCCAACAGAAGTATACCCAAAGTGGTGGAGTGAGACCATTTGGCCTCTCAACCTTGATTATAGGTTTTGATCCATATACTGGCACACCCTCACTGTACCAGACAGATCCTTCTGGGACGTTTTCGGCTTGGAAAGCAAATGCAACTGGTAGAAACTCCAATTCGATAAGGGAATTTTTAGAGAAAAATTATAAGGAAACTTCTGGTCAGGAAACTGTGAAGCTTGCAATCCGTGCATTGCTTGAGGTGAGCTCATTAATGTTTTTTGTTAGATTTTCCTCGTATATGTTTGTAAAGTCGCTTCGCTTTCCTTTTTATTAGGAAGAATCCAATTCTCACATGTTCTTTTGTTTGGTCATTCTCTCAATTTCTTGGTGCTGCTTGAAATTGCATATACCATTTATACTGCCTTACATTGGTTTCATGGGCATCTTGCAGTAACTTGCTTTCTAATTTTCCTGTTTCTCATTAAGTTCTGTGAATGTAACTGACGAGTGACGTGCTAGAGTCGGTTAATTCCTTCACTGCGCCAGTGTCATTTTGTGCTGCTCATTTTGACTAACTTTGAAGTTTGAAGTTGTGTTTCTAGATTTAGTTTGGAAACTAATGACCTTACTTGAACTAGTGTCCTTGACTTCGGAACATTTTAGTTAGGAAGCCACCATCTTTATATTCACACATTTCCTATAGTTACTTTCCTGAAGTTATTTGGTAATTAATAGACATTACCATTTCAAGTAGCTCTTGGATGCATGCTACTTATGGCTAAATACGTGTTTTTTTTGTTGTTGTGCAATTATAGCACTCTTACATAGAATACACCAAATCGGACAGATATACATGAAAGGATTTCTAAGCTGAACTTTAGCAGGGGTTTAAACATACGTGGGTATAAATCTTCAGAAACATTTTGCATTTTCTAAGGTGGAACTGTTTAGAAAAACTTAACAAATTGGGCGTTGAAGGATAACTTCCGAAAGCGCTATTATCGAATGAGAGCTTAGCTGAGAACGTTCAAGGGTAACTCTCCAAAGTGTTAGTACTGTATGAGAACTTAGCAGAGAAGAAACCTAGCTCTCCGGTAGCTGAAATTTGTCGTCCTGCCTCTGAGTACAGCAAAAGTTCCTAGGTTAAGAAGTTGTTGAGAGCATCCTCCATCTCTTGATCATTCAGCTGTCTACCAAAGTCCCAACTTTCTTTTACACTACCCGTAGATTTCCCCACCCTTTTTCATTGAAGGTAAGTGCGTAATATAAATATATAAATGTGCAAAACAATAACACAGCTAGCAAGAATAAAAGAGTATACAACTACTTTTGTTGTATAAATTGAATTGACATCTAAAAATACACGTCGTAGATTCACCGAAGTTCTTATGACTTTTATATCTAAATAGCTCTTGGGGTCAACCCTGGTTATCCATGTTTGGTATCTTTAGATGTCTAAATAGCTCTGCTTGATTCCTTATTCCATTTCTGGCGCAAGGGCTACTGTAAGGAACAAAACATGTGGATGTTAGGAACTACGAACCTCTACGATAGTATGATATTGTCCACTTTGAGCATAAGCTTTCGTGACTTTGGTTTTCCCTAAAAGGTCTCATGCAGATAATATTCCCTACTTATAAACCCATGATCATTTCCTTGGTTATCTCATATAGGACTCCCTCCCAACAATTCTCAACAATGGATGGGCATGTAATTTTTCTTGTGGACGTTAAATGTTTGCACAATAATGTTACATGTCATACACGACCAAGTCAAAGGAAAAACCATGAATTCTTTTTTCTCTTAAATACAGGTTGTTGAGAGTGGTGGAAAGAACATAGAGGTCGCCGTGATGACAAAGGAGCATGGACTGCGACAATTGGAAGAAGCTGAAATTGATGCTCTCGTTGCAGAAATTGAAGCAGAAAAGGCAGCTGCTGAGGCTGCAAAAAAAGCTCCTCCCAAGGAAACATGATCCCTTTTCTTACATGTTTTCCAGGCATTAGTTCTTAATCCTTTACTTTTCTGGTGGAGTTAGTGAATAATCTTATGATTCTGAACCTTCAAACTTGTACCACCATTTTGTGCATCGTTGACACAAGGTGGCCGTAGTTGTAGCCCCTGAAAAATGCCTGTTTATCCTCTCAACAGAGTTCAATGGGATAGTAAAACCATCTGATTTTGTGTGATTTTGTGGATTTTGTGTATTATTGTTGCTGAGAACTGAGTAGGACTTCTACTAATTTTTACTCTAAAAATTGATCCATGAATGAGTGCTTTAAAAAATTATTTAAAATTTAATTTCTTATCTATGGCCTCATAAATTAAATCTAAAATTTCAATTACTATGCAACAGTTTAGAATTTTTAACCCATTTAGATTAGAGTTTAAATTCGAATAAAAAACAATTTCTTATTAGTGATGTACATTCAACCCGACAACCTAGATGGAAGGGTTGGGTTAATTTGGGTCCCGAATTATAAGGGTTGGGTTAATTTGGGTCCCGAATTATAAGGGTTGGGTTAATTTGGGTCCCGAATTATAAGGTTTGGGTTAATTTAGGTCTCGAATTATAAGGGTTGGGTTGGGTAATTTGGCGGGTTAATTTGAGTCCCGAAATATAAGGGTTGGGTTAATTTGAGTCCCGAATTATAAGGGTTGGGTTAATTTGAGTCCCGAATTATAAGGGTTGGGTTAATTTGAGTCCCGAATTATAAGGGTTGGGTTAATTTGAGCCCCGAAATATGAGGGTTGGGTTGGGTTGAGTTGGATTAGCATATTTCGAGTAGGGTTGGGTTTTGAGTCCCGAATTATAAGGGTTGGGTTAATTTGGATTGGGTTGGGTTGAGTTGGATTAGGTTGAGTTGGATTAACATTTCGAGTAGGATTAGGTTCAGTGCAAAAATTTGGGGATTGAGTTGGGTGGGTTAATTTGGGTTGGGTTGGATTGAGTGGATTAGCCTTTCGAGTAGGGTTGGGTTTAGGATGAGTTGGGNGGGTTAATTTGGGTTGGGTTGGGTTGAGTTGGATTAGCATTTCGAGTAGGTTGGGTTCAGGAATTGGTGGTGCAAAACTTTCAATTTGGGGGTTGAGTTGCGTGGGTTAATTTGGGTTGGGTTGGGTTGGATTGAGTTGGATTAGCATTTTAAGTAGGGTTGGGTTCAAGAATGAGTTGGGTGGGTTCATGAATGAGTTGGGGGGTTAATTTGGGTTGGGTTGAGTTGAGTTGGATTAACATTTTGATTAGGGTTGGGTTAAGGATGAGTTGAGTGGGTTAATTTGGGCTGGGTTGGGTTGAGTTGAATTAGAGTAGGATTGAGTTCAGGAACTGGTACAAAACGAGTAGGGTTGGGTTCAGGAACTGGTGCAAAACTTTCGATTTGGGTCTCGAATATTTGGGTCAGGTTGAGTTAGATTAGCCTTTCGAATAGGATTGGGTTTAGGAACTGGTGCAAAATTTTCGATTTTGGTCTTGAATTATAAGGATTAACCGAGCTGGATTAGCATTTCGAGTAGGTTTAGGTTTAGGAACTGATGCAAAACTTTCGAGTTGACCCGAGCCAAATACGATTTGGATCTCAAATTATAAGAGTTAATCGATTAGCATTTCGAGTAGGATTGGGTTTAGGAATTGGTGCAAAACTTAATATATTAATAACCCTTATGAATTAATGAGTTTGCACCCGTGGTTATTCAAACTCACACGTTTGAGGTGAATACATGTTTTGTTTTTATTATTTTTAATTTTTATGTTTTGTTTATATTATTTTGTTATTTTATTATTTTTATGTTTTGTTTATATTATTTTGTTATTTTTAATTTTTTTGTTTTGTTTTTATATTTTTAATTTTAATGTTTTGTTTATATTATTTTGTTATTTTGTTATTTTATTATTTTTAATTTTTTGTTTTATTTTATTATTTTTAATTTTTTGTTTTATTTTATTATTTTTAATTTCTTTGTTTTGTTTATATTATTTTTTTATTTCTTTGTTTTGTTTTTATTATTTTTAATTTCTATGCTTTGTTTATATTATTTTTTTATTTCTTTGTTTTGTTTTTATTATTTTTAATTTCTATATTTTGTTTATATTATTATTTTTATTTATTTGTTTTGTTTTTATTAATTTTAATTTTTATGTTTTGTTTATATTATTTTTAATTTCTATGTTTTGTTTATATTATTTATTTATTTATTGTTTTGTTTTTATTATTTTTAATTTCTATGTTTTGTTTATATTATTTATTTATTTTTGTTTTGTTTTTATTATTTTTAATTTTTATGATTGTTTATATTATTTTTTTTTGTTTTGCTTTTATTATTTTTAATTTCTATATTTTGTTTATATTATTTTTTTATTTCTTTGTTTTGTTTTTATTATTTTTAATTTTTTATGTTTTCTTTATATTATTTTTTTTATTTATTTGTTTTATTTTTATTATTTTTAATTTCTATATTTTGTTTATATTATTTTATTATTTTATTATTTTTAATTTCATTATCTCACCACTTATCTATATTTTATTTTTATTTATTTGTTTTGTTTTTATTATTTTTAATTTTTATGTTTTGTTTATATTATTATTTTTTTTTTGTTTTGTTTTTATTATTTTTAATTTCTATATTTTGTTTATATTATTTTATTATTTTATTATTTTTAATTTCATTATCTCATCACTCATCTATATTTTTATTTTTTCTGGACGGATTACTTATAAATAAACATTTATATCATTTTATTATTTTTGTTATATATTACTTTTTGAACTAATCATTTTTATTATTTATTTAATTTCATGTTGAATATATTTTATCTAAGATTTTATCTAAATAATTATAATATATCCTAGTATAAAAATTATTTTAATGTCAATAAAAGATTGGCTTTTTTTTTTTTTTTTTTTTTGAAAAAATATAAATATAGTTTTTATACCGATAATTATAATTATAGAGATACCAGATTGGAAACGTGTAACCTGCAACGTATACTTGTAGAACAGTAACTCCAACGGTCATAAATTCGGAAATCCTCTCATATTAGCCCTTCCATTTTGGATACATCTCTCACTCATCTCCGGCTTAGCCCTTTGCCCTATCCTCCATTTTCACTTCCCTCCTCTCTTCCACTCTCGATTTCACAATGCTGCAGGACATGTGGAACGCTCCTCCGGGCTTCAGGCCTTCCAAATCCGCCCCTTCTTCTCCCGCGAAGCCTCTCGGCGTTTCGAGGCTCCGTTCCGATACACACCATGTCACTCATAAGGTTCCAGTAGGCGATACGCCCTATGTTAGAGCAAAGAATGTTCAGGCAAGAGTTTTAGGTTTTTGAATTTGTTTCAGTTCTGTTTTCGAATTGAATTTGTTTAAGTTCTGTTTTCGAATTTCGAGGTTTGTTTATTGAATTTGTTAGTTTAGTGTACTGATTTCTTGTTTCTTATGCTCAGTTGGTGAACAAGGATCCGGATAAGGCGATTCCTCTTTTTTGGGCCGCCATTAATGCCGGGGACAGAGTTGATAGTGCCTTGAAAGACATGGCCATTGTTATGAAGCAGCAGAATCGAGCCGAAGAAGCGATTGAAGCGATTAAATCGTTGCGAAGTCGATGCTCGGATCAGGCTCAGGAGTCTCTGGACAATATTCTTTTGGATCTATACAAGGTCTGTATGATTTTTCCTTTTTTTTTTCCGATTCATTCTTTCTTTACTTGGATTCGTTCTTAGTTTTTTCCGTAATTTCAAATTTGAATCCACAGAGATGTGGAAGATTGGACGACCAGATAACTCTTTTGAAACATAAATTGTTCTTGATCCAACAAGGTTTGGCGTTCAATGGTAAGCGGACTAAAACCGCCCGATCTCAAGGAAAGAAGTTTCAAGTCTCTGTTGAGCAAGAAGCAACTAGATTACTCGTAAGACGATGACATTCTTGTAATCAACAATTTCTCTGAGAATTTCAACTTAGATTTTGAAGTGTTTGAATTTATGTTTAGGGGAACTTAGGATGGGCGCTGATGCAGCAAAACAATTATGTTGAAGCCGAAGAGGCTTATAGGAAAGCACTTTCAATTGCACCTGATAATAACAAAATGTGTAACCTTGGAATCTGTTTGATGAAACAAGGGAGAATTTCAGAGGCTAAAGCAACTCTACACAGAGTTAAGCCAGCAGTTGCCGATGGGCCAAGAGGCACAGATTCCCACCTCAAAGCTTATGAAAGAGCACAACAGATGCTCCAAGATCTTGAGTCTGAAATGATGAATGGGGGCGGCGATAGGCTCGAACAGAGGCGGCTTTTCGACGCCTTTCTCGGTTCTTCGTCGATTTGGCAACCTCAACCTTGCAAGGATCATACAACCTTTCCAACATTGCCTGTCACAAATCCTGTTAGGACAGTGATTCAAGGTGAATTTGGTGATGAGAATGTTGATACCAATTTCTTGGCAAATCAGATGGTTCTTCCTCCTCAACAGCAGAAATTCAGCTCAAAAGTTCAAGTTCCCTTCGGGGGGAACTCATTCAATGTTGCTGCTCAACCATTTTTTTCATCAAAATTATTTAGTGAACCCATTTCAAAGGCCCCCTTGGGGAACCAATTTCCTGAAGGTCTGAAGAGAACAAGGTCTGGAAATGCAGCCAATTCAATGAGAATGAATGACATGGTGGAATCAAAAAGGCCATTTGTAGTGGAATCAGGGAGGCCTGAAACTAAGACAAGAAGGTCATCTCCTACCTCTGAGGAGACAGACAAATGGGCAGAAATATTGCCTGATGACAATGATTTTGAAGAGGCTATTCTTGCTGCAGTTCTAGGCTCCACAGATGAACCAGAGAAGCAAGCAGTATCCAATGCCAGCGCCGCCGTGGACGGTGGTGGCATGATTCAAAGTAAGGTTGAGAAAAGGCTCAAGGTTTTTGAAGGCATTACACTTTCCTTGAGTCCCAGAGCCTAACTCTTCTAACTTAACAAGTTTTTACCTTTCTAATTGAATTCATAATTTTTAGGAGTTGAGGCATAGGAGATGAACTTGTTCTCCTCTGCCTGCTTACTGTGGTGGCAACCAGTCTACATTAGCTTATATGTTGTTTATTTAATTCACATATGCCTCTAATATATGGGGCATAGGACAGATAATAAAACTTGTTCCATTTTTCTGAACTCATTGTATTCATTTTTTTGTCTTGTATTATGAATTTAATCTTTTTGAAACTCATGTAGAAATTCTCATTGGTAAAGCAGATTTTAGACAAAAAAAGATAAAAATATAAAACGAGAGTGGCTAGTAATGCCTCAAAGATTCTATGAAAAATTGGAAACATCAAAGTGAGCGGTAGGTGGCTTAAATAGGAAGATGAGAGGATAATATGAACATAGGTCATGATATTAGATTCCGTAGCAGATGCAGAAGGTGAACCGAAGCCTAGCTCGAACAATTTCTTGTGTGTGATGTTCCATAATCCTCGAAAAACTTTTCTTCATCATATTGAAAAGAACATAGAATTCTTCCGAACTAGTCCATGTCATCTTAGCTATAAAATCTCTTTTGTCAAGTAATCGTGACAAAATCCCTGAAGTGCTTTTGTAATCTTCATAACATGTTATCTCTTTGAGAGTAATTTTGAAGTTAAAACACTCCATACATGTTTGTAATCTTCATCCAATACGAGCTTCAATATAATCCCTTTTAAGGGTGCTTTTCATCTTACCAATTTTCATAACTTTCTTTTGTCCACACATTTTCAAATGAAACAAATTTACAAATGGGAACATACACATACTTGTATCATTCAAGAGATATATATTTTTTTAGTATGATCAGAGGAGAATTGGAAAGGCAACCCCCTCAGGCGAGACGAGTCTTTTGTAACTCAGTATCGCCACAGCTGCTACGATTGTGGCTACCACAATCCGACTTGTCCATGAGGAAGCACTGTCCTTGAGATCTGTGAGAGGTGAACGGAAGCCTAGCTCAGACAGTTTCTTGTGTGATGCTGCATAATCCTCGAAAAACTTCTCTTCATCCTATTCGAAAGAAAAACATAAAATCCTCGTGTTCGAGAGTAATTTTGAATTTAAAATCACTCCAAAACATGATTATAATCCTTCCAAATGAATTTGATGTTTGGTTTGTACGGTTAAAATTAATTTTGAACGATTAAAGACATGCTTAAAAGTGATTTTGATCATCTCAAATCACTCTCAAAACTTGATCTAAATGATAAAAGCGTAGCAGCCAAAGTTCACCTCTGCATATGCCTTCACATATTGGGAAAACCGAGGATCCGCGAGCAAGGCCTTGTCTGTAGGAAGCTTCAATAGTTGTTGGTCAGACCCAGAGCCTTTTTTCAGCAATTCCCTGATCATAATCACATTTGCAATAGAATTTGTTTTATCTACAAGCAAGGAGAAATTGAATGCAAGAAGTTGGGAAATCATTCTCACACAAAGTAGGAGTTATCAAACTTCAGAGGGTCCTTTGTCCATGGGCCTTCAAAATTTGATCTATCCTTGTGTGCTCTTCCCTGAAGAATTAGATACCATAACTATGATCAATGAAAAGAAAAAGAACAGGACAAAGCTGAAGATCCAATTCCTTCATAGTTTAAAGGAACAATCGAAAGTACCAATGTGTGGCCTCCAGACAATGCCACAATATCCTTGTCAGTTAGTCCCATCCTATAAAAGATATCTCTTAAATGGGAAGCACCTGCAGGGAAATTTCATCTAATGATCATACAATCATGGCTTCTGCTATGAGTTTGAACAAAAAAGAATTCAGACAGACCACATCAATTTAAATCACAATCAAAAAGTTTAAACTACGCCCCTCTCATATGCCACATAGTTATAGATATTTTGAAAGTTGAATAACCAATTTGAAACATTATTAAATTACCCCTATATACATACATACATATGTATATATATATATCTTAAGAAAAAGTCACCTTGGTTGGCATCTGGAAGGCGCCCTTCTTCTGGAACTACATTGGAGTCCTAATCCATTTGATTTAAAAGAAGAATGAAGCTATTCAACAGCAATGACAATTGTGAACGTCAATCAAATTTTCTCGTGGATATTGATACCTTTCTTCCAGGGGCAAAGTCAATGGATGGCCCGCCAGTGACCTCCACAGCAACAACCCCAGCAAGCTAAAAGTTTAGAATTAGAAGAGAATGAGCCAAATCTTGGCTGATGGAACTTTTAATAGGTTCTTTAACTTTAAGGGTCTGCTTTGATTGAATTGTCAATCCAAATAGGCTTAAAGTTCTAAGACAGCAGAATAGCTTGAATTTGAGAAAGAAAGGAAAATCACCTGATAAAGGTCTGCATATGTGATTTTTGGATGTCTGGCTTTCACAGTTTCTGTTGAGTTTCACAAAATAAGGAACGATGAGTGAGAATGTCTGCCAAAGGAAATAGAATCAAATTCCTATCTGATCATGTAACGGCCCAGGCCGTGGGCCAGCTTTAGGGGATGAATTTCCCTGTGATATCCTCTTAGGGATCTCACAATCCACCTCCTTTAGAGCCCAACATCCTCACTTCAAGGCGCAGCAAAAGCGTGGTAGGCCCATAATCCACAGATCTCAGGATTGTGATTATGGGTCTGGGACATTAAAGATCAGTTGCGGATTTTGATTTTGATTGACTTTCTAATTATTTAAGAATTTCAATCCAATTGAGTTCTAGTTAATTTTGGTATGAAAAAGAAGACAATATTTGCTAGCGGTGGGCCTGGGACATTAAAGATCTTGCGGATTTCGATTTTGATTGACTTTCTAATTGTTTAAGAATTCCAATCCAATTGAGTCCTAGTTAATTTTGGTCTGTAAATAACGTGCGAAGAAAGGCATCAGCTCAACTCTATAGATACTCACAATAAGGAGAGATGAAAAAAGCTCACCACAGAAATCAACTGCGATTTTGAGTCCCTTGTTTGCAGTATGGTTCAATTCATTCTTGAATCTGATAGAACCATTGGGACCTCCAGTTTTGGTTTTAGCATCATAAGTACCTGCATCATGCCACCTACCCAACAAAAATCCTATGAAAATTATGTTTAAAAATAAAAAAATTGAACGTTAAAGTTAGGTCAAAAAATAATTTTGGTCTTTGAACATTCATACCAGCCGCAATCCAGTTGCAAGTCCATCTAAGAACTTTATTTGTGATGATTTAATCCAAGTACTTTCAAATTTATTACAATTTAGTCCTAAAATTTTTGCATGTAACAATTTAATGTCTATGTTTATAAATTTCTAACAATTTAGACTCAAGATTTTGTTCAATCTTAATAAAATTTTCCGCGATCGTTGCAAATTGAAAAGTATCACAACTAAATTATTGTTTCCATGAAAGTTCAACCAATGTGCAAGATCACATCCAACCCTTTCAAACCCTTTCGAAATCACTGCCAAAGCTTGGCCTAAAGCTATGGAGGAAATAAATCATCAAATCAACTATGCAATAGCTGAAAAACAAAATGCCTAATGGTTTCCCAAGAAGATGCAGTATTCAATTCATTTCACTTAGCTAGAACGAGAACTTACGCTAGACGAAGCATAATAGGAGCGCAATTCTCCTTGGCGATTAGAGCGCGAAGGTCTCGACGGGCCTTCTCGATTTCCTTGAGGTATGCAGCATCGACTTTAGGAAGCGCCATTGAAATCTCGATAAGGAAGCAGATATTTCGCTTTCTTTGCCAACAAATTGAGGAGGAGTCGATGACATTGTTCGTCGGAGTTGAAATTTCGGGTTTAAATTGAGGGAAAACAAACAGTGAAAAGAGGAATTTTTGGTGCGATTTTCCATTCGCAAGAGCGCCAAGGAAAGCAGTGGGTTCTTTGCTTTGCGGTGTAGGCAGAGAAATGAATATTTAAAAGGGGGAAAAATGGATTTTGTGTGTGCTATTTATTCAAAGCAACGCTCTATAGTGGCGCGTGGGAAGAACTCGCGTAGAGATGTAATGTAGGTGGAGACTGGAGAGGTTTTCGCGTGGAGCGTGAGATGGAGCGCGTCGAGCTCGGATGGTTTGAGCATCCGTACGTATCCGCACCTCCGCCTACAGAGACAGAGCCCAGAGGATTAACGAACCGGAACCTGACGCCCGCCGGCGTGGAGCCAATAGAGTTTCATCCCAAACGTTGTTTCTTAAATTTCTGTCGCATATTGACGATTTTTTTTTTTAGTTTTATTTGATTCGACATATAGGTAAAATATATTAAAATTATATACTACAGATAATATTAACAACAATAATATAAATTTATTAAAAAAAAAGTGAAATACATATTTTGATAATTAGTTATTATATACATTGACGTTAATATTTTTGTCCATACTTTTTTTCGATGAGGTTTCAAAATTTTCGTTCACGTCGGGAACAAATTAAAAGATATATAAACAAATTGAAACCCCCATTTTCATTTACATAGATTTTTTTTGCTTTTAATTTTGGGACTAATATAAAGTTTATCCTTCCATAAGTGCAGGTATTATTTAAATAATAATAATAACCATGTATGAAAATACACCAAATGAACATATTATATAATTTATAAATGAGATTAATAAAAGACTAACTTTATTTTCTAAAAAAATATACAATAAACTAAAATAACTATGATTTATGTATAGACTACATTTGGAACTTTAAAAGTACAAACATCAAAACAAAATATACTCAAGATACAAAAATCAAAATAATATTTTAATCTCAACGATTTATTAAAAAAATAGTTTAGTCCAGAGTATGTAATTTACCCTCAATATTGTTAGTTTCAAACCATACATGGCAAATTAACTAAGGTTAAGTCAGATTAAGTTGGTTCAAAATTTAAAAATCTAATCTCATTTTTTTTCCCTTGTTGGGCAAAATGGACGTGGCTATGCACTCATGAGCTACACACAGCTCAATGAGCATTCGGTAATAGATAAAAAAAAAGACAAAAGTGGAATGACACGTGGAGCTGCTATTTTGTAGGTGAGAGATTACAGTAACAACCCTTAATTGAAAAGAGTTGCGTTACAGTAATTTGATAGGAACAGGTAGGGCGATTTGGTCTTTTCTATACGATTATAAAATAGCAGGCTCTCTGCCCAACGCCCTATTGTCTCTCTGGGCTGCATCTTTAAACCTGACCAAAGTATATACACTTCCAACTCCCAACCTTTTTCTTTTTCCTAAACCATTTTCCATATAGTTTAGTTTCTTTATTTTAGTATTTTTTTTTATTTATCTGTGAAGTGCCCAAAGCTTTTATTTTAGTATTTTTTTTTTATTTATCTGTGAAGTGCCCAAAGCTCATCAAGGGTTGAAATTAGTCAATTCTGAGTCTTGAGAGAGAGAAGAAAAAAGGCACAGGCTTTGCCAGCGAGTAACAAGGAAGAAAGAGAGTAGCTTTTGTAGGCACGAGTTGCAATTGGCCTGAACCACCACCACCACCACCAACAATGGAAGATCTGCCGTTTTAGCCACCTTCATTAGAATGTGGAGATCGGCGGAAGATCGGAAGTAGAAAGCCGCCGGAGCTTTGTTCTGTTCTTGGAAAGGTTTCTGCTATCTATTTGCTTAAGATTTTGGCCAAAGGAGCTTAAGAGGGAAGAAGCTGAGTAAGTGGCTGAAATGGGTTGCTGTTACTCGAGATTAGAGAGAGAAGAGACTGTTTCCAGGTGTAAAGCAAGAAAGAGGTACATGAAACAGCTGGTGAAGGCGAGGCAAGCTTTTTCTGCTACTCACAGCTTGTATATTCGTTCTCTTCGTGGCACCGGCGCTGCTCTCCGGCAGTTTTCCAATGCAGAGACCTACATCCGCCGCCCTCAGCAGCAGCAGCAGCACCACCACCACCACCTTCCGCCAGTGCTTCCATCTCCAACCCCACGAACGCCGCCGCCGCCTCTACCTATCCCCATGAGTCCAAGTTCTGACACCTGGACATCGATCACGGCATCCCCGGCATTGCCTCCTCCGCCGCCGCCGCCGCCGTCCTCCACATGGGATTTCTGGGACCCTTTTGTGCCATCGTCATCTCGCACTGTGACTGAGGAAGAATGGGAGGCTACCACCACTGCATCGGAGGCTATGGTCACTGTAACTGGGGCAGCGAGCTCAGCGCCGCCACCGTCAGTGGTGAGTGGTTTTTCAAAGGACACATCGAGCACTGAGCTTGCCATGGTAGTGTCGAGGAACACCAAAGATCTAGTGGAGATTATCAAGGAGCTTGATGAGTACTTTCTCAAAGCTGCCGATGCTGGTGCTCAGCTCTCTTCGCTTTTGGAAGTCCCCACTTTTTCTTCTCAGAAAAAAGGAGGTAAATCTAATACCAAAGGAGTACAAAATCAATCAAACAACAGTTTTCCCTTCCAATTCCTTCCTCTTTATCATTCATTCACATCCCTCAAACCATAAGGTACCCTAATGAGTTCCATATCATGTCTCTAGCAGGGCAGGTTTACAATAATGGGTGGAGCTTGAGCCCTACGTTGAGGATGTGGGGTTCAAACACAACACCACCAAATGCATTTGGTAAGTTAAATGGAGAAATAACAACACCAAATATGGGAAATGGATGTGCTGGGAATAGTGGCAGCCACTGCTCCACAGTGGAGAAGCTGTACGCCTGGGAAAAAAAATTGTACCAGGAGGTGAAGGTAATGCTTTCACTTTCGCATATCTCAATCTAATCTCCAGTCACATTGGTGGAATAATATGACATTTTGGTACTTTAAACAAAGTCTTCAAATTGAAATGATTCTTTCCACTTTTTTTCTCTTTTACCTAATGGGGTCCAACATAACCAACGAAAGATGAAACTTTAGCGTTTCTCAATGCATTTGAAGGCATTGAAGAACCGAATTGTGGAATTTTGTGTCCTAAAGTTTGTGAAATTGTGTTGAATGGCTTTTTTAGAATGCTGAGGCCATAAGGATAGAGCATGAGAAGAAGTTGGAACAATTGAGGAAGCTAGAGCTGAAGAGGGCTGACTATGTAAAGACTGAGAAGACTAAGAAGGAGGTTGAGAAGCTGGAGTCACAGATGATGGTTGCTTCCCAGGCCATTGAAACCACATCAGCTGAAATCGTCAAGCTAAGAGAAACTGAGCTCTATCCACAACTCCTTGAGCTTGTCAAAGGGTTAGTGTCTTTCATACTTGCGCTTTAACAGAAACAAGAAATCAATAGTCATTTGGCTGCATTCTGATGCTTAATATTTAGGCTGTAAAGTCCATACCTACTGTGTTAGCCCGACCGTCTGTTATCTTCTCAGTTCACTTACCATGCTTGCATCATCCCCCTGAGCACAGGAAAGAATCATAGAACAATACAAATTGGATTAGAATTTAAAAAGCCATTATGTTCCATTTCACCTTTTGGTAACTTTCACAATTCAATGTACTGTCGTTCTACCTTCTGGTATTTCTAAAGGCCGGAATGAAATACTAAGCATATTTTGGATATCTTCATGGACATGGATGTACTCTATTCTAGATACTAAGATTTGCACTGGTTTCTACAGATTGATGTGCATGTGGAGAAGTATGTACGAGTCTCATCAGGTTCAAACACACATTGTTGAACAGCTAAAATATCTAAACATCATACCATCAGCCGATCCCACATCCGAGATCCACCGCCAATCAACTCTCCAGCTTGAGCTTGAAGTCCAGCAATGGCATGCTTCTTTTTGCAATCTAGTGAAAGCTCAACGGGATTATGTCCAATCTCTTACAGCCTGGCTTCGGCTTTGCCTTTTACAGATTAGTGGAACCCCATTATTAAGAACAGGTCAAGATTCTAGAATTTACTCACTTTGTGAAGAATGGAACCTCGCAGTTGATAGGATTCCAGACAAAGTGGCTTCTGAAGGAATCAAGAGCTTCTTAACAGTAGTTCAGGCCATTGTTGTTCAACAAGCTGAGGAACATAAGCAAAAGAAGAAGGCGGATTCTGCCTCGAAAGAGCTTGAAAAGAGAGCTACCCAGCTAAGATCACTAGAAAGCAAATATGTCTCACATTCCATGCGAGAATGTTCAGCATCCACGAGAGGGAGAGACCCAGTTCAGGAGAAGCAAAATAAGGTGGAAAACTTGAGAGCAAAAGCTCGAGATGAGAAACAAAAGCATGAAAACTTGGTCAGTGTGACCAGGTCAATGACAATAAATAATTTGCAGATGAGTTTTCCCCATGTTTTCCAGGCAATGGTGGGGTTTTCTAGCGTATGTATGCACGCATATGAAGCAGTTTACAATCAAACTAAAAATCCTGACCTGCATGAGGTGAAGAGATTACTACCCTAAGGACAAGACTTGATTCTTGAGACAGCTATTCCGACCAATTCCTGTGCATAAATGTGAGCTCAGAAAGGGGGGTTTTGCTGGAAAGAGTGGAAGGAGAAATCTGACAAAACTTCATTCATTTTGATTGAAGATTTCATTAGGATAATGGAAACGAGGCGGCAAGTGGGCTACTTTGCTCGCTTTTACAAAGGGGGTAGGAATGGCTGCGCCAGCTCATCTGAATTGCTGTGGAGATTACAAAACAGGCTAGGGGTTTTGTAGAGTTGATAGTTTTTAAACGATTATGGTCAGTCATGTTGTTCATGTAAATAGATATCTCCACATTTTCGGAAGTTTTATTTGATTGATAGCACGGTTGGGCTTCCTTGGTGTTCAGGAGGAAAGGCCCGTTGTAAGGACCCGCAAGTTTCATGCAATTCATATATTTGTGTCAATATTTCTTGAAAAGCGAACATTTATGAACGTGCGCATGTGCACATATATGCATTAAAGATGAAACTAACAGATGATATTTCAAACGAATCTGATTAATATATAACCTTACCTACTCAGAAGTCGGAACTCTGAAGTTTGAATAACGCCTGAGAAAAACTGCTGGAGGCCAATTCCCAAGGGTCTTTTTGACACCATCTTTAATGGAAAGGCAACAGGATTTCTGTAACAAAGACGGTAATTTGTACTCAATTTCATATCAAGATTTGAATAATAAAGAAAGTTCATTACATTTTACAAAACCACATGTGGTGTTGAGCAACACATCCAATCGTCTCGGGATTGCTTACATAACGGGGCACCTATCTAATTTACCAATCTTCAATTTCTTCATCAGAAGTATGACTTTCTCCATTTCCTGAATTCACCAAATCAAAATCTGTATTTTCATCTGACAATACCGGTAAATTTTCACGATCTCCGGATGCACTACTACCAAGCCATTTCAATGCAGGTATGTACTCTGTGGCAACTACTGAAAAATCCGCTAAACTGATCCCACCATAAGCGATAAATCTTTGTTTTACCATCTCCCTCTGCAAAACGTTAGGGAGAAAGAATAATAAATAACATTATATTACATGTACAACTTAAGGAAATTTAAGCTATTACTTTTTTTTCCAACTAATGGATAATTATTTTTTTCTTAGCTACTAGTATTACAAGTTAAAAGCATCTTCCCCTTCATTGCAAATATCATAACTTAATCCAAGACTACATATCTATTATCGGTCGACCCTCTTGAGTCTAGCAGCTAAAAAAGTATAAGCTTTGAATATTACTTTTAACCCTTATACCTACTATAGGCCAAGCGGTGGAACTAAATACACTCAAATATGCTGTACAAGAGGGGTCCGGCACCCATGTTTAGTAGTAAAAGTAAAATAAAAGAACTTAATCCACCTTATTCAACAATGAGGATCCCTCGATTTGCCAAAGCTTTGGTCTACGTATAGCATGCCACCTGCGTATTTGGAAGGTTGGAATTTATATAAATGTAACTATTGTTGTTTATGAATTATCAATTAAATTCCTAAGAACCACCTGGAAGACAACGGATGAGAGTTGCCAAATAATACCCCCCGGACGGCAACTGAAGCAGCAGCCAGGTGTAGAATATTTTCTGCATCATTATGTCTGGCTAGCATTCTCTCGTAAGAAGAAAGGAGCGTGTCAGCATCACCTAAATACGAAGCCACAACCCATGCATCATCTACAGCTTCCTCATTCATGAAGTCTATAACTGCAAAAAATGGGTAACAAAGTTCAAAAAAAAAAAAATGTAATCTTGTTTGAAACAAGTACAACTAATACATTAACTTCTGCTATAGTCTTCTTGTTAGGGACAAATAAGTACCATTTTCATGTAGAAAATCAGCAATCGGCCTGGCTTGCCCATGTGCTTGAGATAGAACCTTTTCTGGAGGATCCATATTAAGTGGCCGTCTTGATAAATTTTCTTTAACAGAAAACTCACCGTCTGCAACATAAACAAGGTACCAAGTTTAGAAACCTTTAATGACATACCATAAGAATAGTTCTACCCTAAGCTTCACATTGCTTTAATCTTTATTCAAATTCCAAATTACAAGGCCTTCCAACTCAGCAAATTATGCATTGATGAAACGGACCTAACACCAATTCGTTACTAGTATGTCGTTTGTTGTGCAGAAACTTTCCCAGGGCATGAAATAAAGAGAGACTCTCATCGCGGCCAAATTGAAAAGAGAATCGATCATCCACCACTGTGGGAGGCACCTCTTCATTTTCTTTTGAAGATTCCAGAGCACTGGATGATGATGAACAAATCTGGCTTGGTTTCAGGCAAAATAATTGTAAAGACATGATTGCATGTCTCACATCACCCCCACTCGATTTGGCTATAGCATCAATTTGTTCAACTGCTAGACTATACTGCTCTTGACAACATATTCTAGAAATTATTTTTTTAATGGAGTTATTCGTTATAGGATTAAATGCAACCTGAAAAAAAAAAACAAAAAACAAAACAAATCAATGAAAACCAACACCAGAGGTATTCTTTACTCCCTAAAGCATGATAAGCCAACAAACTTTATCAGGAAAGTAACCTTACAAGCCCCAGCGTTCTCAAGGCAGAGCTGAATCTCTTCCAAGTACTGCACAGTGAGGTCTGTTCTTTCAACTTTGCCACAATCTGTAATTACAATGGCTGTTGGAACTTGAGTTGATTGCACATAAAGATGCAAACAGTTCTGAAGTCTTTTAAGAGCAGCCTTCCCATTGGTCAAAGGAAGTTCATCTATTAAGAGTATGATCGGTTGCTTTGAGTCATTGGGAAAGCATGAAGGTATCACACCATATTTCCTCATTCTCCCAATGAAATTTTCAAACTCATCCAGTTTAGATGTGTACTGTATCCCTGGTTGAAGATAAGTCAGCGCCAGAACAATTTTTGCAACAATTAGAAGGCAAAAGCCTCTCATCAACAATAGGAAATTTCATTAGATTACACAGCATTACTAGACATGTCAAAATTTTACCCTGCAGAAACACATCAGAGTAAAATGCAGGTGAAGGTGTGTTCTACGTGTTGGCTTAATCTAATTAAGATCTTGAAAAAAAAAAATTCAAGACTTGTTATGGTCATATAAAAAAATAAAATTGATGGGTAGTTTTCAAGCTCGATTTCAAGTGAATGCAAGAGCTTCACATGACTTTAAAGTTAAAAGGTGTAATAACATGAGAATTTTTCTTCATCTGGGTGCTATCTATCCGTCAATAGTCACCAAGACATAGAAGGATAAGCCATAAATCTTCAAATAATTATCGAAGAGCATCTTGGACCAGTATGATATTGCATTTGATCTACTCCATAATCAAGATATATCGCTTCATTAGAATACCTAAACTCAAGTTATGCAGATGTTCTTGCCAAATCACAGGTGTAGGAGTATCCCATTCACATAATTTAGCTCCAAGATGAGATGCTATTACATGAACAGTTGCCTGCAAGAGAAGCAGTCGTCCTTTTTAAAAAATTTGAAGAAATCCTCCGGCACAAACTCTGAAAGTATAGTGAGAAGAAACATCATGAATGAAGGCCATGCATGCACCAACTACTATCAACTCACGACAAATTGATCAAAACAATAATCCTGGCAGCAAGCTCATCAGTCACGATGACAACCACTATATTAAATTCACTTAAGACTAAGAGACTTCAAGTTAGAAGCAACAGATCGAGGACAGATATATATAAAGTAACCAGTTAAACTTGTACCCTGTCAGATTTATAATGTGTACTTGAATAGATGGCACTTAATATAATATATTGCCCTCAAGAAGATTTTCGGGCTCAACATAATGTATTGTCCATCACTAAAAAAAAAAAAAAAAAAAAAAAAAAAAAAAAAAAAAAAAAAAAAAAAAAAAAAAAAAAAAAAAAAAAAAAAAAAAGAAAAGAAAAGAAGAAACTGGTTTACATCTTATTTAATTATCTTTGGCAAAACGGTTTCCAAGAAGATTGCAGAACCAAGGACGTGCTATTAACATTGAATAACAGATAGATTACACTACTAAATTTGAAACACAAATGAGTATTCATGCATCAAAAGAGAAACGTAAATATTGAGTACAAATCCATGAAAGGTCGACACAGCCACATACAGATTTCCCAACTCCAGAAGGACCAGTGATGACAAGAACATTATTCCCGTTAGCATCCTGTAAACGGAGCAAAATGATATCATCGCATCCACTAATTGAATTTAAACTAAAAAGATAAGAGGAAAAAATGTGTATGCATAAAAATGATAAAAGAGAGAGAGAGAGAGAGAGAGAATAAAAACCTTCATAATAAAAGAATTACCTTAGGTGTCCTCAACCTATCTTCAAACCATACCTTAACTTCATCTACCTGCCATCACATAGTAAAAAGCGTCGATATAGCGTTTGAAATGAAAAAAAGAAGAAAACTATAATAACCTTCTTCTTGTGGACAGCAAGCTCTTCCAATGAATGTGGTTTATATTTATCAATCCATAATTCATTTCTGCACATGCCTCCAGAACCTGATGCAGATCAAGCAAGAAGCTAAACATAGCTGACCTAGTCTCTAACTTAAAATATGCAATTCAAAACTTCTAATGCAGATTATTCCAAGTAATTGAGTCCGCGTAGAAAATATATTACCACCAGATTTTTCCATTGATATAAACACTTGAATAATCTAAAAAAAGAGTGAGATAAGCTATAGCGGCACAGTAATGGCATACCAGCAGATACCTTGAAGGTAGAAAAAACTTGATCAAAATCTTCACAAAATAAGTTGAACTGCATATAAACAAAATAACATATCAAAATGCATAATAACAAAGAATAAAAAATTAAATTGAAAATCCCTAGAAAAAGAGTATTTACAGTAAGAAGAAAATAAATATATGAGATATTAGTAGTTGAAGAAACTGCAAAGAAGAAGTATGAGAATATACAAGCACTGAAACAAACAAAGCTTAGCATTGAAAAACTCAATCCACCCCCACTATGAACATGTCACTTCACGCTAATAAGACGAAAATGCGGATCGGAAGCAAGTTTTTCTTCAGAACAACTACACACACCAGCTAAATCCATTTTCGTCCATACGCACTCAAACACATTCCAGAATCTAAGACGGTAACAAGAGAGTAGTATAAATCGTGGAAAGCAACAAAGGAATTTGAAATATACCTCGTCAACATTGCGGGAATCCTTATGCAAGCAAGACCGAGAACCTAGGAGTCGAGCCTTCTTCGCTTGGCGAGTGCTTTTCCGAGGTAATGGTGACTGCGACTTCGTCTTTCGATATCTGCGTTTGGAACTGGATGATCGACCACCACAGTATTCTTCATCCGACGACAGTACAACCAGATTGTTCTCCTTCTTCGTCATCCTCCAAGACAGAATCTAGAATTCAGAAAACCATACAGAGCAACCAAGGTAGTACCAACTCCAGTTTCGAGTTCGAACTCACAAATTGGTCTCCACAGAACCGAAGCAGAGTGCGTCTCAATAGAAAATTTCGTCTTCAGGTGAAAGAAAAGAAGTTTGGTCGTACTGGAGGTTTACAAATTTACGGAGCGGAGTTCGCGGGCTCAAGACGAACGCGGGGAGTTTTTATATGGGAAATTCAGAGAATGGCGTTACCGAGAAGCTAACAACAACGCCTCGGGCGGATAAAACTTAAAGGGCCAGTCCATTTCATCGTAAAGTTTATTGGGCCCAGGCCCAACTAGGATTGTTTTCAGTGTTTGTCTAGAATACCCTTCCATTAATCACTCTCTCCATTAAATTTAATATTTTTACTTTATTTTGATGTCTTTGTATAACTTATCCTTTAATAAATTATTTTAATTTATTAAAAAAATGTCAAATCGTCAACGGAACACGTCATAAGGCTCACTTGTTTAGTTATTTTCTATAGTTATTGTCTATAAATAGCTAGAAGCGTAGTTTTTACGGGGCAGAGAGGATGCAAAATCAGTAAATTTTTTGAAAACTGCTCCTGAACTACTTTCACTATTTCACGAGTGCGGTCTCTGGTTCAAGTAGGCCAATGGCAACTCTAGATCATCACGTTCCTGCAAACCTGTGGTCCATCAAGAGAAAGAGTTGGTCTAGGACCCTTCCTATATCGAGAGATAGGCTAATCCTTTATTTTATGTGTATGTAAAAAGAAGTGATACACGAGTACACCAAATAAGGGTAGGTTGCCCTGATTTTTTTTTTTTTTTTTTTTTTTTTATGAGAAGTCGAATATAAATGTGTTCTTCATGGAAGGAATTCATACCTCTTTATAAACTATCGTACTCGAGCTGGTGATGTGGGCCTTTGCCTTACTATCCAGACAGAGTCATAAGATAGAACCATCAATCAAATTAATTTCTTTTATTTTATTGAAATACTACTTATTAAATATGTTATTTTACAACGTAATAAATTGTAATTTTAATTATGAGGTAGAAAATAGTGATATTTCCACGTCACAAAACGACAGAAAATGAAACATCATCTGAAGCGTAGAGGTTAGAACATTAGAGGAGGAATCTTCAAGCTGCCTCAAACTTTTTTTTAAAAAAATTATTTATTTTAATTGAAAAAACGATTAAAAAAAAGAAAGAATTTGGAATTTTGCATCAGTTTCCAGACATTAATTATGAATAAAATTGCTTTTTATTGAAGGGTTTCCCAAAATGCTTTCAGTTTGAAGGCAAGCAAAAATTAAATTAAATTAAATTAATAACGACCAAAGCTGGGTTGAAAAGTCATCAATCCTACACCAGAAGGACGTTACGACGTCGTTTTGAGCCTGGCAGATTAGTTAAATTATCCTTTTTCCCCCTAAAATAAAATATACAAATTAATTTTTTTTTTTCAGAATTGACAACAATTTATTTTTCATAAACATATTTATACACTTAAAATAAAATCATATATTAAAATTTTATTTTTCAATCAACGCGCCAAGGACAAAAACGTCAAAATGATAAATTTAGGTTAAATTGCAAGACAATTATAAGCTTATGAATTAGTAGAAATTGATAGAAAGTTATAAATTTAGGGGTAAAATTTGAATTTTCTCCCTATTTTATTATTTTAAAGATATATGTATTTCGCGGGAATGGCAATTTTGTAATTTGAGACATTGGAAGGGCCTCTCCGTTGGTTACGCACCAAGATAGTTGCTTACATGACTCTCATGGCGTGCGTGTGGGGAGAGCGGTTCTGTGAAAAAGCGCAGGAAAAATTATTCGATTCACGAGGAACTGTGAGTGCAGTTTGTGGATTCAGAGGTCTCTACCATGAATGTTATAACTCCACGCAGAGAGGCGAAATAAAGAAATGAAGATCGTTATAGCTGAATGATTTTCGGTAATGGAAGTACTCAAATGTTTGTTTCTTCTTCAAATAGTTCGGATTTCTGTGAAGGAGTTGAGTTTTTCGTTTCAGGCATGCTCTTTTGAACTTATCGTTCTGTATATTATGATTCGGATGCAATTTCAAGTTCAGTTGAAGTATGCTTTTGTTATCGTTATTATTGTAAGGACTGAACTGTATTTTATCTCTCATTCTGATTTAAATTTTTAGATATTAGTGGAAATGTTCATGTGTTCTCTTTTCCGTTTCTGTCTTTCCTGTTTAGGGTCTTTTGCCGAAAAGTCCGTCGGAAACTTAAAAAAGCAATCATGAAGATATTGGAAATTTGTCATATTGTTTTGAAATTGTTATTTGTATGTGTGTGTGTGGTTGTACATGTATTTGTATATTTTTATTCTTCTTTGAAGTTCAACTTGTAATTATCTCGATAATTTGGTATGCAGCTGAAAATTTCGGGATGATCTTGTGAGGAGGTTTCATTCAAGACAATGCATATTCATCGAAGACATTATTAGTGCAAATGGTTTCAGTGAGAACTGGCAACTCGAAATTAAGATTGCTTAATTTTCTGGTATAATCAAAATTGTTTCTTGAAGATTCCACAGTCCAACTTTTGCTGATTAGGCAAAGGAAATTTGAATTTGGTGACTTTCCTGGCCAGAAATTTGGAAATTCTGGGGGGTTACGAACAGTGGTGTTGCTAAACACGTTTAGATTTAAGTATGTCTTCGTGGGATAGTCTCGGGGACGTTGCGGGAGTGGCCCAGCTGGTAGGATTCAATGCAGTTCAGCTGATTTCAATGATTGTACGAGCAGCAAACACCGCAAGGATGCACAAGAAGAACTGTAAGCAATTTGCACAGCATCTCAAGTTGATCGGGAACTTACTGGATCAACTCAAGATCTCAGAGCTGAAGAAATATCCAGAGACTCGAGAGCCTCTAGAGCAGCTGGAGGATGCCTTAAGAAAATCATACATTTTGATCAATAGCTGCCAGGATCGCAGCTATCTCTATTTGTTGGCTATGGGATGGAATGTTGTTTATCAATTCAGGAAGGCTCAAAGTGAAATAGATAGATACCTACGGCTTGTCCCTCTGATTAACCTGGTGGGCAATGCTCGAGTCAGAGTAATAGTTCGTTTCTTTTTCTCTAATTTTGCTTCTCTTTTTTGTTAGTTTATAAACTTATCGCTGTTTAATTGTTTTGTCAAAATTTATATGTTTCTTTTTCTTGCTTCTTTTACAATCTAACTGAAAAGTGGATACCCATCAATTATTGCCTATCAAAACGAACGAAGGTCATTTAGTATCGTTAGTTCCTGTTCTTTAATACGCATCATTCTATCTTCATGTTGGAAGTGAAAATGAAAATGGTCCCTTTTAGTTTCATGCTTGTGCTTATTTAACATGACTCAACTCTATTAAAGTCATTTTCTCTGTTATTTTTCTCAGGAAAGGCTTGATGATATTGAAAAGCATCAATGTGAGTATACGTTCGAGGAAGATGACAGAAGGATTCAGGACGCTATCCTCAAACCAGAATCTATCAAGAACGATGCTTCGATATTGAAAAAAACTCTTTCTCGTTCCTACCCAAACTTGGGCCTCCATGATGCGCTTCAAAAGGAAAATGAAAAACTTCAGCTTGAGTTGCAAGTATCTCAATCTAACATGGATGTTGGCCAATGTCAAATAATTGAACGATTATTTGATATCACAGAAGCCTTATCTGCAAATTATTTTATAGAAAAAGATTTACAGAAAGGAATTCCAATACAACATGGATATAGTTATTCTGATGTTGCTGGTGAAACTGCTCATGCGTATGGTGGAAACTTTCACAAGAATAGAGATGCTAGTACGACAAGGTAGGTTTGTCTTTTCTTTAGTCCTTTCTTTGTGCTTTTGTGGGCATTTCCATGGATATAGTTATTCATATCTTAGGAACAAACAAATTCCCATATATCTCTACAATGTATGATGGGTTCACTTTAAGCATAAGTTTTCATGGACTTACTTTTAATTTCACCAAAAAGTTTCATTACCAATGAAAATGTTGTTAGCTCGCTTATAATATCAAATTTTCTTCTAGCCAACATGGGACTTTGTTTTGCTCCCAAAAATATGATGAATGTTTCCACCGAGACAAAGATGCCAATGTGGCAGTGTTGATTTTCTCCCTTCTCTAAGGAAACCATAGATATATCTATCTATCTATATATATATTTTTTGAATTGCATAAATTTACATCATTTGGGTTGTTTTTACCAATTTTAGATCATGTCATTTAAAATTAAAGAGCCAATCCCATGTCCCGTGGCCATTTCGTACATGCCTGTTTGTCTGTTTTGAAAGTTCAAACTCTTCTATTTCCATCAGGTTTAGAATGCTTTGATAAGTTAAATAACATATATAATGTCTGCAGGTGAAATTTTACTTCATGATGCCGTTTATTCTTGGCATATTGAATATCTCGAAAGTCTATCATATGGTGGATTCTGTTCTTTTTTCCTTTCAGAAAGGGCTCATCAGTTTCATCAAGACACGATCCGCTATCCAGCAATTGTCAACATGAAGAATGGCATGCTGATTTGCTTGGTTGTTGTTCACAACCTTATCTCTGTACGTTCTTCTCCCTTTTGAAGCTGTGCTTGTTAGCTTGTCCTCGTGATAGGACTGGAAAGTGTTCTTCTTTTACCGTAGACTGGTTAGGGTTGTCATTCGAACAGCAACAAATTCTTGTATCATATACGTGCTGCGAAAGAACTACAAACTCCGATTATTATCCTTTACCCCGCTATAATTTCCGGAGATGTCATCCTTTCTATATTGAATTATTTTCATCCATAACTGAGAACGTAACCACGACCTTTGACTTTTCACAAGTTCTTCACTCTTCTTTTTTTCCTTTACATGTTAGGACTGATTCCTGGCCTGATTTTCGATTTCTTCCTTCGACTTTATAGTACAATTTATATTAACTTAGAAGGAAATCAAACATTAATTTCCATTTGTTAACTTGAAGGACCAAGCATTCGCAGACATTGCATGGTCATTCTTTTTGCAGTATTCTTCCTAGCGCAATAGGCAAAAGATTTTGTAAGAACTGTGCTTTAATTTTTTCCTTCCATTCCATCTACTGTGTAGAGATTCCCTTGATTAAACGTAGAATGACAAAACTAATGCAGAATAACGTTCGGAGAAATGTTATACATTACTCATTGTATGCGCACGTGTATTGTTTCTCATCCAAGTACCTTTGTACACTTTCCAGGTATAAAGACATTTTTCTGTCCTTGTTGGACATTGTCAAAAGTTGCTTCTGTCGCTACCAACAAGCATGTCTGTAAGTAATCACTGAATGTCTATTTTCTACTAGGGTAGTTCTTTATAATGGATTGAGATGTAGTCGGAGATCATCTCATGATTTATGGGTTCATACAGAAACATCGCAAAAATTGTAGTGTGTGTCAAAGAATGCCTCTCTCGCTTTCGTCTTCTCACACCATATATGGCTCCAATAATGAAGATCTTGAGTAACATACATGCTATGTAACGTATCAAAGCTAAAAAAATCTTATATTTCCTCTGATTATCAGCTCCAGCAGATGCATGTAATGAGTTGATGGCATATGCTTTGGTGTTCTCATGCTGTTGTTACACTTGCTGTTTCCGACGAAAACTCCGAAATATGCTAAACATCAAGGTAACTTATGTTCCAACATGTGAATTGAGACCTATTATTTCATGCAACTGTGGATGGTGGGTTCAGCAATACGCTTCTTTTGCAAGTTTAGATGATTTTCATCTCATAGAAACACAATTGATTAATTATTGTTCTTGAGCTCATGGCTTAGCAAGCCCAAAGCTGATAGGTGATTGCACGAGTATTAATTACATGGATGCTTTGTGAGTGACAATCATTATGACACTCTTCTTGCTCCAAGTCCTCTTGCTCTACTCTAGTTCTATTTGGCGTTTGTTTATACTTTCTAGGATAATGCATTCATCCTCTACATTTCTGGTACTGAGGGAGTCATCTAGCCTAGTTTGTGACTTGTTTTTCTGGACATATATAACCTTTGGTTACCAATCCGAATTGGTGATGTACGTCTTTCACTTTTTGTTCAAATTCTTTGGCAGGGAGGCATTGTTGATGATTTTCTTTCTCACCTTCTGTGTTGCTGCTGTGCACTCGTCCAAGAATGGCGAGAAATAGAAATGCGTTGTGGTATGTATGTACTTACTGCTCCGATAATTTTACAACACAGTTCTTCAGGCTTCACTTCTATTTATTCTATATAAACATCATGGAGCTTTTGCTTTATAAAATCTTGTTTTGATCTCCAAGCTTATACACAAAAATTTGTTTAAGTTATTGCTGTTAATTTTTTTTTATAGTACATTTACCAATTTTACATCCTACTAAGTTTTATACGAAAATAAGCCACCTGATATATATAGGATGTCTTTCTGAGAACAATATAACTTAGTGCTGCATCATACATCCTTTGACATGTGGATGTCGCCATGTCAGTATGATGTAGAAAGACCTTCATGTTGGTACTATTACAGGTAGAAAGGCGTTCCCAATTGTTTGATTAAAAATATAACTTGTAGGTCCAGAGAACACAAGAACGATCCCTCCACCATTGCAATACATGGAATCCTAGGTGAGAGCTGAAAACAAAATCCAGTCGCCTTGGAAAGTTAAAATACTTGATCGTCTTGCTTCCATGTAAGTTGTAAAATAGACATTGCTTAGTCTCATTGATATTGATTAACCCCGTGGAAGAGATTGGCTCTCTTCCTTCTCTATTCTCCTTTATACTCTGTACATGCTACATAGTGCTACCAATTCTCTTTAAAAGTGAACATGTCTTTGTATATAAAAGGAGAAAAGGAATGCGTAGACTGTATAACAGATGTTCATAGCTCAAGGAATGATTTGAACTTAATATTGTGACTTTGAATTGGCAAGACATTTGGGTGTATAAATAGAAAATTACTAAGACAATTGCTTTCCTTTTCTTGGTTATCCAAATCAAGGCCAGCCGTTCCTTTGATTCGTGTGAATTGAATTAGAAAGAGCCAACATTCCTATGACTTAGACAGCTTGATGACAGTTGAAAATTTTAGTACCCGTTGTTATTCCATGATAATCAAAAATGAATTAGAACAGGATTGAATCGAGAGAAAGATCAAGAACAATTGCTCAAGAAATTCGTCTTGAATTCCGATGAACAAGAAATACAATAACTATCTATTATTGCTCTACCTTCACTTCAGATGCAGCTAGGTTGAAGAGAAGGCTTTGAAATAAATCTGCCACATAGCCAACATCATAACCTGAAGAGCAGGGAAAACAAACCTTTTCCTTCTGCTGCTCAGCTATCATATGATGTTAAAAGCAAAACTCTCCAGGGATGTGTGCTCTTTCTTGGGGTAGCTGTAAGCTGTTACCGTCATGACTTGTTCGGGCGATTGCCTTAATCTGTGAGTCTAGCTTTCCAATCATCTTTTTCATAATACAGGAACAAGCCCCGAGATCTTAAACATTAAGTATCGAGATCTTTGTGTATACTGTAGTGTCCACACATTTCATTTTTCTTGCTAGCAAACCAGTTCTAAACTCTAAGATCCGATTGCCCTGCAGCAATAGTTGACAATAGACTCACTTCACTAGCAAGTTTATGCATCACTGTGTTTGTCTCTTGCAGAAGATTTCCCAATTTTAATCTGTGAACAATCTCTTTCAGGTCTACCAGTCTACAACCCGGAAATGTTCCGAGTCGTTTTTCTTTCATCAATACTTTGATTCTTGAAACATCCTCCCATCTCCCTGCTACAGCATAAATATTCAGAAGCAATCTATAGTATGACTCATTCTTAGGCTCCATGTCAATCAAATAGTTTGCAATCTGTTCTCCCAAAGAAACATCTCCCCTGAAACGACATGTTGCAAGCAAGTTGGTCCATACAACCAATTCTGATGAAAAGTCCTCAATATCCTCGGTCATGTTTCTAAGTATTTCCACAGCCTGCTGAATCAACCCTGCTGCAACGTAAACATTGGCCAAACACCAGTAGTGTGCAAAATTTGGCTTCACAAGGAATACATTGATCATCTCATCAAAGTAGTTATTTGCATCTTCCAGCAGTCCCGCCCGGGCACAGGCACAAAGAACGCCAATAAACGTAATTTGGTCCGGGAAGACTTTTCGCTCACCTTCATCTTGCTTGAATTTCTTGCCACTGCCTGCTTCCCCATTTCTTTCCCTCAATTTAGCAGCCATTTCCTCATATAGCTTAAGTCCATCTTCAGGATTCCCATGTAGGCAATGCCCCAAAACCATCGCATTCCAGGTAACCAAATTTCGATTTGGCATCCTGTCAAATAGTCTACGTGCAATACATACTCTCTGGCATTTGCCATACATGTCAACCAATGCCGTGCCAATAAATACGCAGAACTTCGTCGAAGTACGGTACATAAAACCATGAACCGATCTTCCTTCATTCAGGCTCGCCGATCGACCACAAGCACCAAGAATGTTTACCATTGTTGTACTGTTCCCTCTTATTCCTATCTTCATCATATTCCTAAACAACTTCATTGCACAGCCAGGACTCCCACCTCTCAAATACTCACTAATCATCAAATTCCAAGAAACAACATTTCTCTCAGGCATTGCATCAAACATGTCATGGGCAGTATGCAAATCCCCAACTCTTGCATAAGCTGTAACAATCGAATTCCAAGACACCAGATCCAGGGTCGACATTTCGTCGAACACCTTCCGGCCAAGCTCAATATAGCCACAACAGCCATACATATGAATCAAACTATTTCTCAAAACCATCACACAGTCAACCCCATTCTTGAAAGCCTGTCCATGACACTTCCGCCCAGAAGACCCACAGCCAATACTCGCACAAGCGCAAAAAAGCGAAAGAAAAGTGTACGTATCAGGCCGAAACCCATCACCAAGCCATTGAAAATACACAAATACAGCCTCTAGAGGATCTGAGCTAAGAGAATAAGCCTTAATTACTCTATTGATGCAGAAGGCATTGGGAACGTTTATAAGCTTAAAGATCAAAACAGTATAAACGATGTCCCCAAACTCCGATGCCTGCAATAGAACTCGGTTGGCCCAAAAATGGTGGTTGAATAGACCCGAGGTAATCAAATGGCCATGGATTTGAACTAATTCTCTTATGCTCTGACATGATTGAAGAAGCGAGTGGCATCGGTTATGTCTAGGAGGATTTATGGTGTCGAGTGAAAGATCTGGTTCTGCAAAAGAGCAAAATGGAGACGAACATCGATCAATGGATTTAGAGGGCGGAGGGAGGGAGGCGCGTGTGAAGCGAAAGAGTTGTCGGGAGTAAATTCTTGCCATTCATTTGCGGTATGACATTGATTTACTTTCACACAGAATTCTTCGTCTTCGTGTTCTTCTTCCACATAGTTGCCGCCACTATCGCACATTCGTCGTATGAATTGCTCTTCGGAGGCGATGCCTAATACGTTTTAAACGGCGTTTGACGGCGACGAACTGAAGGAGAATCGGAAAAGAATTTAAGAAACTCTTTAAAATTTATATATTCGTGAAAATTATCGTTCTTCCTATGAAACAAATAAATCTACAGACATCTAAATTTTAGCAAATAAAAAACTAAAAACACAAATTATAAGAAATAGGATAAAATTATACATTTTTTTTTGTTTAATAAATTTTTTATCTTTTTAATTGTGATTATTTGATTTTTAGGATTAAAATTTGGATAGTATTATCTTTTAATTTTTTCTATTTTATATTTAATAGATTTATGTTTTTTTTAATATTTTGTGTCTAATACGTCATTAACTTATTTAATATTTTTAAAATTTAAGAAGACATAAAATTGAATTTTTAAAAGCTTTTTATCTAAAATTTATAAAAAGAAAATTTGTATCTATTGAGTGTTAAAGTGAATGAGGAAAATTATAAAGGAAAAAAAAAATTGAGGTATAAAATTGAAAATAGAGGGTGGTAATAAGTAAAGGCTAAAATGAAATTTTAAAAAATTTAAGTATTATTAAAACGTATTTTTTTTTAATTAATCATGAAATTGTAAAAAAATAATTAACGGAAAAAAACAGAAAAAGAAAAACCCTCAATTGCCGACTCTCCGACGTTTCGAAGCAGAAACTCAAACCGCGAAAAATTGAATCCAGCTCAACTTTCTTCAAAGTTCGAAGTAAAATGGTGCGAATAAGCCAATCGCTTCTGAAGGAAGCGGGCTCTGGTCTCACCAAAACTCTCTCTGAGATCCTGGTCTGCCCTCTCTCCAAACAACCTCTAAGGTGATGGTTCCATTTGAATTCATCATTTTCCTTCATTCTCCTCAATCTGTTATGCATAATTTGGTTTCTTGTCTGTTTTGATCGTTAGGTATTGCGAGGCGTCGAATTCTCTAATCAGCGATACGATTCGTGTTTCTTTCCCTGTAAGTACATCAACACTCGGCTTGAATTGTGTAAAAATATGAATTCCAGTATAATTCTTCGCCTATGGCCATTTTCTGTTTTCATTCTGTCTTTCCTTTTCGATACTAGCTCTCGGTTCATTTTTTTAGATCATCTAGAATGCGTAGCTGTTATTCGACTTGCTAGCGAAAGCTCACATTAACTCTTGAGTCATATTAAGACCTACCTACTGGTAGATCGTAGATCAAGACATTCCTTGGTTTCATTAGTTTAATGAAGTATTTCTCAGTTTTTCTGGATTAGGTAGTAAAAATGGCTGTGGGAACCAGAAAGTAGTGTTCAAACCCTCCCCTCATCCGTGGAGTTAGGTTGTAGGTCATGTGCCTGTTTCTATTGTATGTTGTAATTTTACTCATGGTTGTGTTAGATAAGGGGCGGAGTTCCTTGCTTGGTGCCAAAGGAAGGAACGATAATCGAAACTGACGATGGATTGAAAGGTGAGGATACCGTCGAGATTCCTCGAGAAAAATGAGCTATGCTTGTTTGGGAGCGGAAGACAATTTTTATTTCTTGAGCTGAATAGTGAGAATAGATGTCAACATAATGGCACTACACCTGTGTGTTTATGCTTGGAAGTTTCCACTTTAGAATGATTTGAATGGTCTCATTTCCTGAAAATTTCTGGCGTTGCCCAATAAAATAGTCAGATCAGACTACTTGTCCATCTTTCTTTTGTACTCTTTTCTAGAGTTTGTGGTAGTTAAACAGAATATCAAATTTTTTCTGCTTAAAACTTTTGGGCTTGTGTTGAATTGTCTGAGGGTGAATCGTTTCTTTAGCTTTTACTCACATGGAAGGCATCGTTGGATGTTCATCTCTTTAGTTCTTGGAAAATAAACTTTTGTGTTCCTCTATAAAGTCAACCATGATCTGCTTTACATTGTTCTGTTTGGGTTAGGATGCACGCCAGTTTAGTAAACATCGGGTTGTTCTATGTAAAAAACACGGTGTGTATTGTATGGAACATGCTAAGGACAACGAAATTATTACTTGTTTATAGTTGATTACATGTTCGGTATGAATGTACATGGTTCACCACAGGAAATATTTTTAGTTTATCTTGCATGTTTATCATAATCACAATTATGATGAAGAAAGTGCATTCAATATTCAATAGTAATCAACTCAACGATAATTAATACGTACTCTCTCGGGGTCGGAAGTTCAAATCTTCATGCCCACTTGTTAGCATCCTTAAATGGTTGTTCACTAGTTGTTCCAAAATCTCATAAGCCTTCAATTTGGTCTTATGTTTTTAAGTTGGACACCATTTCTCCAGATATTTTTATCTTTCTTTAGGTCCTATCTTAGGAGCACTTGCATATCCTTTTATGAGGACGCTGGCATATCTCAATCATGTTTCCTTTATGAAATGGTTATCATTTTTATCAAGTTAGCCGATGGGGTATAGCAGCTTGTGTGCTCCTGGCATTTGACACTATAACTTGAAAGGTCAAGTGTAGTAATCTTGTTTAGGTGCAGCCACTTTGTCTTTGAAATTTGAGGGTCTCCTTTCTCAATCTAACTACCATTCCTCAAACAAAATAACCCCCTATTAAAGCACTATAATCAATTATCCTTCTTACCGTTAACTGAATGGAGTGCAGGACGATATTCTCCTCCTGCTATAACTTCATTGTCCTCGGATTGTTTCCAGGTATCAAAGATGCATTATCATGTGGGGGATGTTATTGATTCATATTTTATGAAGAGGGCCAAGGAGGAAGGTTGTGAAACTTCGGCACATCCAACCTTGGATGATGCTGCTATCGAGAGGGAGTGGTGTTCTGTGTGTTTTTCAAACGTAATGGAGAGAAAGGTAGCACAAATTCTTCCTTGCCAGCACGAGTTTCACAAGATATGCGTCGAGAGGTGGTTCCATGAATGCCAGAATCAGAAAACTTGCCCAATTTGTCAATTCTGGGTGCGAGATGAAGATTGTCAACCAACAGAAGTGCTTACGGAGGAGATGGTAATATGGTCCACATCTTTACATGTTATTGATTACTAAACTGAACTGAAAGTTCTCATCTATTTCCTTAGGTACCTAATAACCTTAGAACCTTAGAGAGGGAGACAGAGAGAGTTCATGCAACAAAACAATGGTTTGTGTTACATACGCTAAAATAACTCCATAATGTCCTTTGGTATTGTATAGGTAAAAGGCAAATTGTACTTAGTTTGGTAAGCAATTAAATGTACAGCCCCAATCTTCCTTGTAAATCATATAAACCTTATAAGTTTTTCACAATTGTTTTAGATGTAATTTTGGGAGCAATGTACTTCCCAATCTTGGTTTTAGACGTGAAGTTTTAGGTTCTTGAGAAAAACATTTCTTCCTTGTAAAGCTCTATCCCTGGTTATCGGCTTGTCCTAGAGGAAAATCTACACAATATACTCAAACTCAAAACCATTGCATTAGTAGAATAGAGAAAAAAAAGGGGTTCAAGGGAATGAACGAAGCCACAAAAATTTGGGAGAAATGCAGCACTATTAACTGGTATTGCAAATTCCCATTTTCATAAATACTTGTTCCAAACCGTATCAATAAAATAAAGATATCTCGAGCAAAATAATATCAACCTCCGAAGTTCCTAATGCAGCATTTAAAGTTGGAAGGTATTTATAGAGCAAATGACAGGGAAAGTTTCCTAAAATACAATAACAAAAGCTGGAAAGAAGAACCTTCAAGGTAGAAGAACGGCAGTTGCAACCCAGCCTCCACAATATCCAACAAAAGCCAACCAACCTCTCTTGATTCACCTTGCAGAAACAAAAGCCAAACCTTCTGGTTCTTACTCGAACCATCGTGTTCTCTCATCTTAGAACTCAAAGTACTCTAACCCCAAAGATGTAAAGAAAAAACAAGCTGAGGGGCTGCAATGGGGAAGCAAATCAAAATTCTCCACATTAAGTAACATGCCATCATCATCACCAAAAACTAAAATCACAACAAAAAAGAACATGAACTTGAGAAACACAAGTCATGCCAGCCAGCCAACAGCAGCCCACAAAACCATAAATGCATCCCTCCACCACAAAAGGAACTTCTGTCATAGTTTTTTTTTTTTTTTTTTTTTTTTTTTTTAAGTTTAAAAGTTTTAGTTTTTTCCTTTTTCTTTTTAAAATTGTTTCTCTTCTATAACTTCAGTTTACCAATTTACTTGGCATCAAGAGAAGAGAATTTTAGTTGTGCAAACCGTGTCGCTAACATCTCCTCACTTAATCTCTACACCCACATCTAGTTTTCCTTCAAAAGGGCATGGGTTCACAGCACAAACTTGGTCTAACTCCTTTCAGACGATGAACAATCCGGGCCAGCCTTGGTATTTACTTGGCCTGGACGATCATCACCACATGGTTGTGCCTCAACGTGACCACCACCCTGTCCACCTTCAGAGTCCCTACGATTAATATTCTCTAGTGCAATACCTTGAACACCAGCTGCCAACATATCCTGATTGGAACTTACTGGGCTTAATGGGGCTGCAATATTAGGAACTTGACCAGGTCGAATAATCCATCTATCATAATCATTTCGCCTCCTTAATTTATCTCCCTACGAGGAAAAGGAAAAAAAAAAAAAAACAGTAGTAGTTTATATATACGAGAATAAGAGAAACATGATTGTAAATTTTCCGTCTATTCCTATTCCTATTCCTACTATTACTATTACATTTTAAGGATGCCAAACTACCTAACTTTCAGTGTTTTTTCCCAACTTAGATGAGAAAATATAGTACTCCAAGACCCATTAAAATCTCCAGTTACAGTTAGAGGAAAAGGGTTGTTCAGGAGCTGATGTCTACTGACCTTTACTTCCACAAGAGTAGATGATTGCAATGCATCCAATATAGTTTGGATATTTTCAGTCAGACGTTTAACCTACAAAAGAGTTTTGAAATGACATACTCTTGAAGGATAAGAACAATATATGCACTCTGATCATCAGAATTATTCATATTAACTTCCATTATAAGCAACATGATTTGGAAATCTAAAAAGAGGAAATGCCTATCTGCTGACAAAAGAAATTAACAGAAGTCATTCTTCACAATTATCTCAGAAAGCATAGAACCACCAACCTTGCAGTCATACATGCAAGTACATTTTTAAGGAAAAGAACTGCTTTCATCAAGGAGAATGGAAGTACAAATGAAAGAAAGGCATTTATTATGATGGAGAATGGAACCACCAATCATTAAGAATTTTCACCCACACAGTGAAAACAGAATGAGACAGAACCTTGCCTAATACCTCATCCAAACATCCCAATCGACATGTTCTTAAAGATGATAAGTAGATAGTGAGGTCTATAATAACCCTCAACTTCATCTAACATATAGGTCGTGTAGGCCTTCCGCATTCTCTTAATAAAGTATTAGAAATGAATTTTTCAAGACTCGTCAAGAAGCCAATCCTAAAACCCTCAATGTCGATTATAATCATGATCGAGTCAACTTGACCCATATGGCAATATCTCATAATAACATTGAACATCCTGAGAAAATCACTCTTAAAAATGTTCCACCACTCACATTTAAATGCAATATCATCAAATATCTAGAACTCTACGAGTACAATTAGGGGATACCTAGAACTCAATGAGAGTATTGATAGGTGATATCTTGAGAATACTAGTATAATATTAGTAACTGCATAGTGGTTGTTAGTTAGGAAGACTTGGTTATAAATAGGGAAGTTAGGGATGTTATGCAGAGAGGTTAATTTTGGAGATAGCACAAAGTGGGACTTGGGAGAGACATAGCCCTCTCAAAAGGCTATGATATAGCAATAACAATTCTACATTGTGTTTCTTGTTATTGGGATCCTAGATCCTAAGAAACTCATCACTTCCCAATGTCAACATTTGCATTCATATCCTACCAAACATGTCTTGACATAAAATTCTTGAAAAATAAAACATGCATAACATATTTAACCAATGCTGTCTGGCAATGCTCATATTCCACAAACCCAAAAAATGTGGTGGCGCACATAATGAAACATGGTTTATTAAATGAAGGAAAAATGACATAACAACCTATAAGAAAGCAATAAAATATTAACACCTATTGTGAGATCCTCCATCGGTTGGAGAGGGGAACAAAACATTCCTTCTAAGGGTGTGGAAACCTCTCCCTAATGGACACATTTTAAAACCTTGAGGGGAAAACCTAAAAGGAAAATCCAAAGAGGACAATATATGTGCTAGCGGTGGGCTTGGACAGTTACAAATGATATCAGAGCTAGATGGGGCAGTGTGCCAACAAGGACGATAGGCCCCCAAGGGGGTGGATTGTGAGATCTCATATTAGTTGGATAGGGGAAGAAAGCATTCCTTAAGGGTGTGGAAATCTCTCCCTAGTGGATGCATTTTAAAATCTTGAGGGGAAGCCCAGAAAGAAAAGCCCAAAGAACACAATATGGGCTTTGGCGGTTACATCCATACTTGATTAATCATACATTACAGCTATATAAAATTTTGAACTCCTAGTGCCATCAAACACAAAACCTGTTCTAGGTGCCAAAACTATGCTGCTATAAATTGATGTCGTTAATCAGATAAATTTGTATCTCAAATCATAACCAATATTTTAACTGTGCAGCTATTTCAGTTCTCCACTGATGCTATTTTCTTCAATCCTTCGCTGTACGTGGTTCTTTGTTGCCTTTTTTTTTTTTTTTTGGACATGTCATTGACACTGTTAATAAATCAAATAAGTCTAGAGGCAAAGAGTTCCAAGAACGATTCCACAAGTTTCAATGGCAGGACTTTTCTTTAAAACAGTTTCACATGCACGCACAGAGTGAGAAAACATTACAAAAACAAATTTTCCAAGAAATTATTAACAGAGAAAAACATGCAAAAGACAGGGCATGAGGCAGAAAAATACCAGGACAATGAAGGTCATCCTGTCATAATCGTCAAGAAAAAAATTAATTATGCATTCTTGTTGTAATCGTGAAAGCAACTCACCTTGCTGAAGGTTGCTATTAGTCTAACTGGAACCCAGCCATCTTCATCCATTTTCTGCCTCAAGAAAGTGTCTTTTACTAAATTTTCACCACTGCAGTTCACAAATATAAGGTGCAATCACCACTAAAATGTCCTCAAAGTTCTAACACTAGACAAGGATCATAGGAAAAAGTAGAAAGCTATCACATCAAATATACCTAAAGTAGTATTCTATTTGACTCACTATCATAGCGTACAACTGAGGATCTGGGCCATGAAAAAACATTGCATTGGGTGGAATTGGAGCGACAAAAGGTACACCTCGAAGAGCCTCTGGAGGAGGGGGAGGAGGAGGAGGAGGAGGAGGACCAATATACACCACTGGAGGTACAAAATCTACAAAAAAAAAAAAATTCATGGATTAAACAAGTTCACATGAGAAAAACCAAGAATCCTCAGAAAAATGTAGAGCCTACCAGGGAAGGGTAGGGGACCCCCAATAGGCCTCATTGTTGGAGAAGAAATAAAGCCAGTGGTATTAGGAGGTGGAGGTGGAGGTGGTCTAATAAACCTGTGAACCACTCTATGAGGTTGTGCATTAAAATTTCGGTTTGAATTCCAATCTTGATTTCCTCGATCGTGATCATGCCTAGAACTATAGTTATGATGATGAGAATTATCACCACGTGGATGTGAACCACCACCACGACTCCGAAATGAACTACTACGTGGTTGTTGATGACCATGATCATTATGTGATTGTGATGATATAAATGCAGTTCTCTGTGTCTGATCCCTCGAAGAACTGTTAGGAGCTGGGTCGATTACAGGACTTGAAGGAGCAGACTGCTGAGAGAGGGCACTGTTATATGAACTATTTGAACCATTGCGCCTCATCGATTTCTGCCGCGAAGTTATTGGATGAGTAAGAGTTGAATCAGGATTAGGACTAACGTCATTATTACCTTCTTTGTTTGATGATGATGATGACGAAGTTTCAGTCCCCTATGTGCAAAAGGGAAAAAAAAAAAGAAAAAAAAAATTAGTAAAGTATCCCTTAATTCGACATATAACGAATAACTAATGTAGTGAAAATTCTAGCTATCCCCTGTCCGACACATTTTTTTATTGATTTCTTAACCTGTTTGAGCATCGGCGTAAAATATCCCACCACAAGCCGGTTAATGTTTCTCAGCGTATCCAAGGTACTCATGAAGTTCATTCAAAATTAAACATTATTTTCCGCATACATACTAATTTTAGAAACAATTGCTTGAATCTATTCATAAACATATCACCTTTTTGTTCGAAAAACAGAAAACATTAGCTTAATCATGGAGATAAATTGCAGAAGTTTAAGCATTTTTTCCTGCAAACAAACTAAATGTATCCTTTTCATAAAGTTGAAGAACATACCTGCGCGCCAGCGTATCCATCACCTAAACTTTTAATTGAATCCGAAGATGATTTAGGTGTGCCCTTGGCAGATTCCGACAAAGCGGGCCAAGACACAGCCCCCATGACAGGCCCAGCCTCGGTTCCATTAGCGAGTTTGTTCCACGCTGGCTTCTTTCCGGCATTGGCGGACGATCCATTCCCGCCATCGTAACACTCACCCACTGGTTCTTCAGACGAAGAAGAAGAAGTAAATGTTACAGGTTCAACAACAGTAGTCGGAGATACAGGTGATGAAACAGCCGTCGCGGTGTCTAGTTCACCGCGAACAATCTGGTTCCAAGGAGAAGACACTGTGCGCCCACCAGAGCGACGTGATGATGATTTGGGGCTGCTGCTATTACTCTGTCCAGAATTACGAGAAGAATGATCGGCACTCGATGCCGTCACCGAATCAGCATCAGGTAAAGTAGAAGCAGCCATCGCAAATTAGTAATTAGGGTTTCTTTCAGACGGCAGTAAGTAGCTTGATCGACGGCAAACAGGACAAAGGGAAACAAAATTAAGCAACAGAATCAAAAGCAAATTACTTCCTTCTTTCAAGAGTTCATGAACAAAAGGAGTCGGAAAATTCTCCTCTGAAGGATTTCCAAAAGCTTGAAGGATCGGATCGCAGAGAGAAAAGGAAAAGAGGCGTAGGTCAGTTGGAGAGTGGGAAGAGGGACTAAGAAACAGACGGTTTCTCTGTCTCTAAAAATGTTTCTCGCTGTCCTTCGGATGCCTTTGCCAGGGTTAGTTCATGGTAACTTATGAAATTACTTTAATGCCCTCACTTCCCCGCGTGCGCGCGCCAGGATGGGCTTTCACGGCTCTGGCCCATATGGAAATAAATCTTTCCATTTTAATTATTTATTGTAAACAATATATTGTATTTTCGTTGGGAAATTATTTTCTTTTTGTTTCCTTTTTTGATAAAAATATTTCAATATTTTTTTTTATATAAAATAAAATAAAAATATGACTTATATTTACTGTCATATTAAACTATATAAATAAAATTTATTTTTTAAAAAATTTGTATTTCAATAGCGCTTTAAACAACTTATAGTCATGCTTACCACATTATTTAATTTTGATTTAAAGATATTTGGAATAAAATGTGCTACAATTGAGAATCTTATACTTTCCAATAAAAAGCCGTGCCTATACAAAAAGAATGGAAACAAAATAAATAAAATAAAATAAAAATGAATGACTAAGATTCCTTTTATATATATATATATATATATAATTTTCAGGAGTTAAAAGCCAATTTTAACAAATTAAATAGATTAAGAAAGAAAATTAATATTTAGAATATATATATATATATATTTAATCCTTTTTTCGTTTAGTAAACAGTAATATTTTATCCTTTTTTCGTTTAATATGGCTTCAAATGGAATTAAAGTGAAAAATTATAATGCTATCCGAGTAATCATATTGAATAAAAAAAATTAAAATTCCCACTGAGTACACTTTAATACTTGTACATTTAAAACAAAAAATAACAATAATAGAAACGTTAAACACTGAGAGAGAATAATTCCTAATTAGATAATAATAATAACAAATAATAAAATAACAAGTAATTCCGATGGAAAGAAAATTAAATATTTCTAAAAGAAAATATTGCTATAAGTATCATTGGAAAATTAAGCTCCCAACAAATCAGCAATTCGAGAGATGAAAAAAAATTATGAGATCTCACCGATTCGAGAAGGAAACTAAGCTAGGTCCCAATAGAAATGGATTGTAAGATCGAAAACAAAACATTTTTTATGAAAGTATAAAAACTTTTCCTGAACCTTCTAAAAACATTCTTTACGAGTACAAATTTTTTTTTCTAGGAAACAAAAATACTTTTTCCTAACAGACGCATTTTAAAAACTTTTCTCAGGCAGACTGTTTTAAACATTTTAAACATTTTGAGCGAAAGCTTGAAAGAGAATGTCCAAAGAGAACAGTATCAGATAGCAATAGGCTTGAAAGAGAACAATATCAACTAGTAATAGGCTTGAAAGAGAATAATATCAGCTAGCAATAAGCTTGAACGGTTACCGAACAAATGTCCCAGGGATAAAGCAACCAAATTTTCAGTAAAGATGCAGAGAATTTTGTACATAAAAATGCAGGTTTCCTGAGCCCAATCTTGAAAGAAGAAGGTTCCAAAAAAAAAAAAAAAAAAAAAAAAAAAAAAAAAAAAAAAAAAAAAAAAAAAAAAAAAAAAAAAAAAAAGGTTGAGAAAAAGAATAGACTCAAAAGAAAGAGAGATGGAAAATAAAGTTCATAACAAGATGCGCCAACCACAAGCTGTATACACAGACGGGCACATTTTATGCAGTTAAGTATTCAAAAAGTTACAAGTACCATATGCAAAGTTATTCCATTTGACATCATCATTTATAGAGCAAACCATAAGAAGTCTTGGAAAAAAAGGGAGAAAAGAAAAAGAGAAAAAGGAAAAAGGCCTTCATGATGGAGCAGCAGCTGCAACCAGCATCCAAAGAAGGTCAGTCTCTCTAAATTGACAATGAAGAAAGATCAGCCAGCATTTTTACTTCCTTTGCAGAACCATTTTTACTTGTCTTCTCCCAGATGACTCAAGGTTTTCTGCCTCCAAGGATGGATATCTAACCAACTGAGGGGCACCACCGTGGGGAAGCATATCAAGATTCTCCATGGTTGAGTACATATCATCACCAAGGAGGAGAACAAAAAGGAAATAAATTCAAGTAACAAACGTCGCCGATAAAAGAAAATGTTCAGTATTTTGTAACTTCTAAGAGTTGTTTCACTTTTTTACCATCATTTTGCCTCCTTATTCGTCATAGTTTGCCTCCTTTGCCGAACCACACGAGAGAAAAAAGATTCATCGTGCATCAAGAAGGCCTCCATATTTAACAGAAACCAGTTTCATAACTTATCTCCTTAGTCTCTACTACCCATATCTACGTTTTTTTTTTTCGTCCTCATAAAGACATGGGCATCAGCATGTACAAGGTTAATTCCTTGCCGAGAAGGAGCGATCCCAACCTGTCCCAATATTTGGCTTGCCTGTACCTGGCAGCTGTGACTGGGTATTAAAATTCCGAGGTGATCTACTTTGCAGAGTTTCGACATAAAAATCACCCCGGCCTTCCGTATTGCTACCGTTATTAGTCTCTAACGTGATACTCTGAACACCAGCAGCCAGCATATCTTGACTGGAGTTTGCTGGGTTTAATGGGGCAACGACATTAGAAGTTTGAGTTGAAGGGAGCATTATCCATCTACTATAATCATTTCGCCTCCTTACCTTATCCCCCTAAGAAACAGTAATTCAAATACAAAATCAGAGAATGATACGAGCCTTTACTTTCTTTTATCTTGTTACACTGAGCATGCAAACTTCTTAAAGCACCCGAGGGGCTCAATTACCCATTTTCAGGATGTGTTTTGACAAATTTAATTCTACAAAATTGGACCAAATCACCAGATACTTGAAGAGGCCACTCAAACCTCCCAATTATATACATGATTAAAATTCATTTACCCCTCCTACCACCCGCACACACACAAATAATAATAATAAATAATTAAATAATAACACCCCACAGTGAATAACTAAATAAATTGAGAATCCATGACTAACCTGTACTTCCACCACAGTAGATATCATCCTCAAAGCATCCAATATCACTGGGATATTGTCAGTAAGTGCTCGAACCTGCAAAAAAGTCAAAAATGATATAAAATCCCTGCAGGAGTGTATGCATCCTCATTCACACAATAAGCTCAAACACTTTTGTGATAAGCATCCTCATTTCACACTCGACCAATCCATAAGATGCATCAAAAGAAACTATTTGATTTTTTTTTCCAGGAAAGGGTAAGAAATTTATAGCAGCAAAAGAACAAAAGAGACAGCCTAAGGGCCTAGGGTAAGGGAAACCATAACGAAGCCTCATAACTAGTGTGCATTAACAACCCCATCTAACATACTTACAGAGAACGTTCAATCCTAACTTCAGATATATACGCTCACATGTCACAGCTGCACCTTCGAAATATAAATTTGCAAAACAGAAAAAAAGAAAAATCTACACGCTTCATTAAAGTAATGGATCAGCCTCACATTGAACCTTCATGGGAGGTGGCTGACTAAAAATAGAGAATTTATTATTTGGGTGCTCGGTCGCTTAGGTACTTCTTCATCTCAGTCATTGTTCAGGTACCTCACCAAGACTTTGAAGCTATTTGGCAACCCACGTTGGCACCACCTTAAAAAATGGAAAACACAAACTTTGTGGCTGGCTTCGCTAATGACTCTTATTTGGAAGTTTGAATTGGAGAGGAATAGAAAAATATTTTAAAAATCTTCTAGATGATTTGAACTATAACCATTCAAGCCCACCGCTAGCAGATATTGTCCTCTTTGGGCTTTCCCTCAAGGTTTTAAAACGCGTCTGCTAGGAAGAGGTTTCCACACGCTTACAAGGAAAGTTTCGTTCCTCTCTCCAACCAATGTGGAATCTCACAATCTAGCCTCCATAGGGGCCCAGCGTCCTCCTTAGCACATCGCCTGATGTCTGGTTTTGATACCATTTCTTGATTTGGGCATGTCATCCTTGCACAAGGGTCATGCTAATCTTCTCTGTATCAAGGACAATATCTGTTAGCCAGGATTGGGTTGTTACATAAACTTCGGGACTACGTAAATTCTTGAGTTCTTGGTGTACCCTATCCTAAATTCTTTTGTAATTAGGATTTAGGCCAATCATAGTAAGTTTGTTGTACTCTCCCTTGACAAGTACGTCCCACTCCATACCATTCGTATATTATAGAAAATAGTGTTCCTTCTCAAAAAAAAAAAAAAAAAAAGGTGTTGCAAAGCAATCCCCAATTCCCAGGATCCCTAAAAACTATGGCAATAATATTGATAAGATAAGAATGAAGACAAGCCTCATAAAATGATGGGAACATAAAAAGGAGAAAATGTTAAAAGCCAACAGCAAAGAGATAACAATTACATCACGTTTAACACAGGCAAATTTTTATGGATAAATGTACAATTCGGTTCACTGCTCAAGTTAGATTGAGATAGTTCCTAATAAAATGAAGCTTCTTCAAGCTCCGAGTGCTCATTTTCACTAAAGTAAACTAAGTTGCTGCGTTGAAAAATAAATGAATATTTGTTGTGCTACTTAATTAAGCCTCAAATTGGATCGCCCTAGAGTCTAGATAGACTTCTCACATTATCCAAAACTATCTTTAATAATACAAATAAAAGGATGTCCTTATGAACTCATGGTGGTACTAGATGGTTGGGATGATTCCTTCCCCCCTCCCTATTGCAATTCCTCTTTTGGTGGAATATACTAAACTGTTTCCTATAAAAAGAAAAAGAACAAAACTAATAAATAAACAAACCAGTATTAGCCCTGGGTTTTCCTTTTTCATCCTAATAAGAAACATGAAACATCAATAACAATTTCAAGATAACTTCTAAATTAAAACAACATTCTAATTATTAACTTATAAGCACAGGAATGATGGCTGAACTAAGCAACAGACTTTCTTGTATCCTATGGATTATTGCTTTTTAGTAAATCACATCTACTCAAGAAGTAGAGGCTAAGAGAGACCCATAACAGGAAAATGAGCACCATACTATTATTCAAGAATAATGAAAATTTGGGTTATGTACAGTAAATAATAAATAATAAAATAGTAGAAATGATGTACTTATCATAATAAATGATAAAATAGTAGAAAGGATGTAATTATCATCAGGAATATGAACAATAAATAGAAATTGAACAAAAAAAAAACTCAGCTCTCGGCTCCCTTAATTTACCCACCATTTTAAAGCCTGCTACTAAATGAATTGGAACCCATCCATCTTCATCCATGTTCCCTCTCAAGAAAGTATCCTTTATTAAGTTCTTACCACTGCAATTAACAAATTTAAAGTGATGCTGTTAAAATTATTTCAAAATGCCAATACAAGACAAGGATGATAGAAAAATATAAATTTAGTAATCTGGTAAACATATATGACATGAAAAACACCTGAAGTAGTATTCTATTTGATGGACTATCTTAGCATATAACTGAGGATCTGAAGTAGGGTAAAACACGGCATTAGGTGGCATTGGAGCCATAAAAGGTACACCTCTAAGGGCCTCTTGAGGAGAAGCTGCGACATATACCACTGGAGGTCCAAATTCTGCAAATAGATTCAAGCTTGAACAAGTTCACATGATAAAAACCATAAGCCTCATAAAAATAAGGTGGAATTTACCATGAAAAGGTATGGGACCCCCAAGAGGCCTCATAGATGAAGGAATAAACGTGGCAGTACTAGGAGGTGGTGGAGGCCTTATATATCTTTGAATACCTCTCTGAGACTGTCCATAATTTTGATGGGGATTCCAATCATGGTTTCCATGATCTTGATCACGCCTAGAACCATGACTGTGCTGGTGAAAACTATCACCACGTGGGTAACCAGACCCACGACTCCTAAAGTTACGTTGATGTTGATAATTATGATCATTGTGTGATTGTGAGGCAAATGAACTCCTTTGAATGTGGTCCTTCGACGATGGATTATTTGGAGTAGTATCAATTATAGAACCTGAAATTGTCGACTGTTGAGAGGCACCACCACTGTATGAATTGCCAACACCACTACGCTTCATTGGCTTCTGACGATGAGTTGGGTTTGGATTCGGATTCGGATTCAGAATAGGGCTTGCAGTACTAAATTCTTTATGTGGTGAGGATGATGGATTACCTATCCCCTGGTTACAAAATGAAGAGAGATATATGAAAGTTTGATGTTATTAATGATATGTATGAGCAAAAATTACTGAAACAACAATCAATTATCAATAAACTTATTCCCCGTTTGTAAAAAACACTAAAAAAGAATAGCAGATAACCATGCATGTCTTTGTTCGAAACATAGTGAATTGACCAAATGAAGAACGCATTACAAAGAATAAAAAAAGGTGGCAGAGTTAACATCGTCTAGCTTAATCGATAATGTCAAATATTTCTAATTGCTACTACCTTCAATCAACAAGCAAAGAATACCATAAGCTTACTTCTACGACCCTTTTACCCTAACTCTAACTTCTTCCCCAAGTAAACATATCCGAGCCTGTCCACTGTCTTTGATCCATAACGAAAACAACAAATAGGATGGCCGAGATACGGAAGTGGATCATTCAAAACAGAACATATTCTGGATTCCAAATAAAAATAAATAAAAAAACATTGTAAATGATCGCGTAGATGGAAAGACTGCTGCAGTTAAAAAAATAGTCTGAGCAACTGAATATTTAGACTTTAAGCACGCATCATTAGTTAACAAGACTGACTAAAAACTACGCTACAAAATGAAGGGTCAGAACCTGGCATGCAGGGCCAACAGATCCATCAGCTGAGCCTTTCGGCGATTCCAAAGACGATTTGATTGAGAACCGAGTAGACTCCGATAAGGCTGGCCAAGATACAGCACCCATAACAGGCCCTACCTTCGCAGCCCCATTAGACAGCTTATTCCAGGCGGGCTTATTTCCCGCATTGGATTGTGACTCATTCCCACTCTCTGATATCTCTCCAACAGGTTCTTCCGCAGCTAAAGAAGAAGGCGAAGGAGAACACGGTTCGACAATAGCCGTCGTAGATGTCATATTCGATGGAGAAGCCGAAACAACGGCTGGGATTTCCAACTCACCACGCACAATCTGAGTCCACGGCGACGACACTGGGCGAGTGGCGCGGCGAGGTTTAGGGCTGCTTATATTTTGGTCGGAGTTACGAGAATGGTGGGCTCCGGTTGCCGTTGCAGGGTTGTCATCAGGTAGATTAGGAGCAGCCATAAGAATGAACGGCAAACAAGAAGAAAAACACCGCGAGTTGGGGTTTTCTCAGCCCGAAGTCCGTTGATCGACGAACAGAAGGAGTAAATGTACTAAAGCAATCAAGAAATTTCCCTCCAGTTAAAAAACAGCAATCAGGAGACAAAACGAAGGGAATCCTAAATGTGAAGAGTTTCCAAAAGTTTCAGCAATCAGATCACAGAAAGAGAAAGAGAAAGAGAGAGACGAGAACGAAGGCCATGCCGGAGAGCAGGGGAGCGGGCTCAGAACCAGAAATCTCTCTCTCTCTCTCTCTCTTGGTTGCTTCCCACTAGAAACTCTTCAGGATACCTTGCCCTGGCTGGTTTATGTGCATACAATTACGATAATGCCCTCATCTGCTATTTTGTCCTTGCGCTATCGTGCCCCTATTTGGCCTCCATTCGACTTCCCTCGGCCCAATTCGATCGACCAATATTAGGTTTGTGAATTGTCTCTTTTATCCTTACTCTTAAATACAGTAATTTTCTTTTTTATTTATTACCGTAAGAAAATGTATATTATTGTAACAACAATAATAATAATAATAATAATAATAATAATAATAATAATAATAATAATAATAAATTTAGAGTTAAATTTACTATATTCCATTAAATTAATCAATATGAGACTGACTCGCAATAATTCTCAACGATTTAACGATTTATATGTCTTAACCAATTTAAATATTATATATTATACTTAAGTTGATATCATCGTCCTAAATTTTATAGAGAATCATGTTTAAACAAATAACAGAAAATAATAAAAATATGATGTATTTATTTAAAAATTAAATATATTTTGATTGACATATTTAAGAAATTAAATGATTTTAATAATTAAGAGAAACAAATCTCAAACATAATATCACATATTATACGAAAATTTTAAATAAAATTAACAATATGATTAACTATATATATATATATATTTTGTAAAACAACACGGTAGTCAAAATATAAATTTTTAAATATTAATAGATTTGTTTATTTTATTGTTATGTTTTTATTAATGATTTTAAAATCAATATATGTTTTGAAAAAAATAAAGTTATTCATATATTATTTAAATTTATTAAATTTTAATTAATACATATATAATCAACCCCTTTTACTATATTAACTATTTATTTATAAAATTTATTATTCTAATTAATCTATACTTTATTTTCAATAATTAAATTAAAATACATTTCGTCGGCGATCGCCGGGAGCAGGCATGGACGACGGTAATTCCGACAGATCGGCCGTTCCCGCCATGATGACTATTATTTCGTCACGTTTTCAAAGACGACACTCTAAATCCGGTCTCCTCCATTTCTATCACTGAGGTTTACGATGCTCGCCTTCTACTTTTTTCTTAGAAATTTCGGTGGACGGAGAAACTTTCAAATCAATGTGTAACTGCGATGAAACTGCAGAATAGTCAATAGCTATGTTAATTGGAGAACCAATAGTCAATGTAAGTTTTAGTTGCTTTGCCTGAAAATGTAAGTTTCATTTCATGCGCCAATAGTCAATAGCTATGTTAATTGGAGCACCATGGGCAGTTAGATGCTTGATCTGAGGCTGATTCTTCAATCTTCAGGTGCTGAATAAATGTTAGGGCCGTAGAATCAAATTGGGAGTCGATTGCCTCTCTACTTTTGCATCTCTGTTTATCGAATTAAAATGTGCTGAAACTTGAGTTTGATGTTTGTCGGGAAGCATTTGATGATCCCTGTTCTTCCGTGGCCGTTCTTCTCCAAAGTTCACTGGTAGGTCAGTTTCTATAACAATCTACCACAAACGCAGGTAACTTGATAATTGATAATATTTTCTTACATGATGGGAAAGAAGGGGAAATTAGCAGTGCTGGTCACGATGGTTTTGACTGTGACTATTATCATTATTATCATTGTTTTCTACCTTTACCAATTCATTGATATTCAAACTGTGTTGTGGGTACCATCCCATTGAGTTCTTGATGGTCACATGGGTATTGAAGTGTGAAAAGCTTGTTGATGGCTTTGTCTTCATGCTATATCGAAGAAGCATCAAAGCTGCATCAATTGGCTGAGATTGTTCTCAATGGGAACCCAGTCAAGGTAACAAAATGCATTTATTAATAAGCAGAAAGTTTTTTTTTCTCTCTTAGCACACCATTTAATAATATTTGACCAGTTGATGGAAGATTTTATATCTTAATATGTTGAGTTATACTCAGTTTGACACACATGGAAGTTATATATTTCCGTTCCCGGTCTGTTTTAGGTGTTCTTGTAATTTTAAGTCCAATGGCATATGGTTGAAATTTTGAGTGAACCATTTTGAAAACCAGTGCATTCGTGCAAGTTGAAACTTTAATTATGCATAACTTGTATGGAATGAAATACCTGATTCTGGGAGTTCAACTACATATATATGAACATGAGATATTGTGCATTACAAACCATCAATTAGCTTACAGTTTTGATTTCATCCTTTCGAGGATGCATCTGTTATCCCTTTGCATAATTGTGGGTCCTTAACGCGGAGTTGGACAATATTTATCGCCGTCCCCTGAGGCAGTGGCATGCGAAATTGCCGGCAGGTGTCAGCTGAAATAATAAACGTTGTTACTGTTCTTCATCTGCCGACAAATCTGCCGGGAGAGGGGGGATGGGAGTTGAATCAAGAGTAATTTGGTTGTTGTTTTGTTGTTGCCAAATCTATGATTATATTACTTTTAGGACTTGCTTATTAACTTCTTACCTGTCCGGGTTTTCTGCACAAATTTTGATTGTTTTTAGGTGTCTTGAGCTGTAACGAAGTAGCTTATATCTGAATCCTATTAGATTCTTATCCATAAAGTTCAGTTATGTAGGTAGTGGAGGCATCACAATAAAGGGAACTTTATCTCTAATTGGAGACATGTGAGAATAAAGGCAAAAATAAAGGCATTCCATTAGTGGAAATATATGAGAACACATTTGTACTGTGATTTCAACAGTACTGAATACAAGCTAGCTATGGGTACTTTACTCCCATTGCAAACAAAACACACACAGCTATTAGGAGTAGCTCTTAGTTCACTGCCCTACAATTCTTCCTGATCTCTTGACCTCCAGTGATGCTACTCATCTTGATCATAGAATTAACAAATGCACGGTTAAAAGCTTCCTTTGAGCTTGCAAACTTATAAACAAGATTCTTGGTCTTAGGAAAGTTTAGCAAAGCTTGGTCAGAAGAAAACAGGGCCTTCTTTTGAAGTATCAGTCTATAATAATTGTTGTCAAATGTGGTTGAAGAAGTATCCATGTAAGCACCAGCATTTTTAGCCTTGTTGTTTACTGGGCATGTGTTTCTTAGACTTGCTGCAAAGGACGGATTCATTTCAGGGTCGACGTTGCTGGCTGGACAGAAGTTGCGAATTCTACCTTCAAAGGATGAGCAATGAGCAAATCCCAAGGTGTGTGCTCCTGCATCATATAACATTGACAATGTTTATGGTTTACAACAATATCTCTATTAGTTTACCTTTCTCTTTTCTTTAATAATTGTGGTATTTTACACTGAATATTCTCTGATTCTTTTGAAAAATGTATATACATATTGTGCCAAACTGCTGACGTTGTGTTAGTACTTAAAATTTTCATCCTGAGTTTGTATTTTTATGTGGTTTACCTGAAAGAGCCACTAGGTCGTCCAAGGATAATCCCCTTTGGGAGAAGCTTTGTTGCAGCTGAGAAATGTTGAAGCTTGGAGATGGCAATTGTATTGTTTCACTAACCTTTGATATCCTTCCATCCTTTCTCCCTTTGGGAACATCCCATGTTGGGCCTCCAGACTGTAAGACATTCACACACAAAATTATACCATTTTACAGAGATAAATGTGTTGGACTAAGGAAAAAGATCATTTGAATTATATGGCTTCTTACAAGCACAACTGCATCCCTTGCAGCTAGAGCCACAATATCAGCACAAGAGACAACACCGGGGCAATAGGATTCCAGTTCTTTCTTTGCGTTGTCGATCACGAAAAACGAGTGCAAAGACAAATTAGGAGGCCCATCTTTCTCAGCTTTGTTGTTCCCTACTGAATTCAGCAGTACAGATGCATCACAGCCCTTCACCCAAGCAAACAAAACCAGGTTAGTTTTGTCAAACACATAGAAGTTTAAACGTGTTGAGAATTCTGAAGAGAGTACCCTTATAAAACAGTCATGAAAGTGCATCCGGAGGAGTCCCGCAGGGACAGTCTTGTCTTTGTAAGCTGCACTCTTGACAGCTTTATTAACGATGAAGTCAACACCTGGACATGTCTTCTCGTAGTAGTCTAAGCTCAGTGAACTCCCCGAAGGCAAAACAGACAGCAAAAGCATTGCAAAGTGTGAGAATACCACAGCAAATGAGGCCATGACCTACAAATATAGGTACGAAAGCTACACTCTTATCTTCGCTCTTATCTTAGTAAACAAAGCAATTCTTGGTCCATTACCGTTAAGATGGTGTGTTATTTATAGGAAATGAAAGGTGATAGAAGAGTTGCAATACAAAGCCGTGACATGATAGCGGCCCCAGACGTTGAACAAATGCAAATAATGACGAAGTGATTCTGAAGCAATGCTGATCCAACAACATGCACGACACTGGCTGCTGTTGCTCCTTGAACCTTCAACTTTCGGACTTAGGGAGTGGGACAACATCATGCCAAAATTTTGGTAATAATTATGTTTGCTTTGAATGAAAGATCTGGAAACCCAAATAGGTTATACCCTCCTCTTGTTGCTATTGGCATCTTGGTTGGTCCCCAATTTGGTGCTCTTTAACGAACGCGGTTGTGGAAACTGTTATTTGGATAGATTGCCATTCTTTCACAAAGCTAATGAGTTTCCTTTACTTCAAAAGGTAGCTCGAGAGGCCAGGATTTCTTCGTTTACAAAGTAAAAGGTATGCTACAGTTCCCTTTAGAGTCCAATGCTGCACCCTTTTATTAAAGTGAAATATTGTATTCATTGTTTTTTCTCTATTATTTGTAATTTATCATATTTCTCTATTCTTTAAATGATTCTTTTGGGTGCAATAGTTTCAGAAAACATTTACATTCATTTTTTTTAAGCCAAAGTTTGAAATATTTGTATTTGAGATAGAAAAATTATAGACCATTTTTAGAGAGAGACATTGTGTACCAACAAATATTATCCGCTTACGGTTTTCAAACACGTCTAATAAGGAGAGGTTTTATGTTTCGTTCCTCTTTCTAACCGATGTGAGATCTTACAAACCAACCCTCTTGAGGGCTAGTGTCTTCATTGGTATACTGTCCATTGACAACTTTGATACTATTTATAATACTTCAAGTCTACTACTAACAAATATTGTCAGTATTGACCAGTTATGTATCCTCTTAGCATACTATTTGTAATACCTCAAGTCTACCACTAACAAATATTTGTCAGCATTGACCAGTTATGTATCCAGTTAGCTTCATTGAAGTTTGTTAAGCAGCTATAAAAGAAAAATTGTTATAGTAATATTATGGATGTAATTTATATTTAACAAAAGTTAAGGAAAAATCCATTGGTACGGAGAGTAAGAGTAAATTCATTGATAATGAACGAAAACGGTTAATTATCCCAAAGAACAAAAAAAACTATATTATAAAAAATTGAATGGTCAAAGATCAAATAATATTAAAAAAACTACATTTGACCAAATATTTTATTTTAATTTTTGCATTTGCATGGATCTAACTCATCAAATTATAACCTCTTAATTTAAAATTAGTAATCTGTTGTGAAAGTAGGTAGTTGGGATAGAGCTTTCCAGTTTGTTTATAATTATAATAGCTTCATATGTAAGAAGTTATAATTAGAAAAAAATAAAAATAAATTACTTAATTTGGGCGCAATTATTTGAACTTGGACATCTCTTCTTTAGGGAACTATAAAGTATTTGGCATCAATTTATGGGCCCACAAAGTAAATTTCCAATATATATCTTATCAATTTCATATGTTTAATTGATGGTGGATTTGGGTAAATGTGTTATTAATTTACATTAATAATGCATACATTATATATATATATATACACTCACACACACATACAAAGTTTGTATTGGGTATTGTTTTTTTTTTTTTTTTATAAAATAAATTCCTTTAATAATTATATATTAAAAGAAGTGACCAATTGGAAGCATAAAGAATTTTTTTTATAAAAAAAAAAAGAGAGATCAAAATATATTTTATTAATTGAATTTGAAATGTAATTTAATCCATGATTTATTTCTTAACAAATAATATTGAAAGAATTTAAATTAAACAATATCATCAATTTATTAGAGAGAAGATTGGCTTTTTAAAAAATATAAAATGAAATATAAATATTTTATATTTAGCCAAAATAAATGCAAAAAAACGAACAATTTTGAGCATGCATCCAATCCCACATGGGCATTGGTATTCGGAATATTTAACCTAATTATTAAAATTACTATTAAAGAAAATAAATAAAACGGTTTATTTTAAAAACAAAGTAATATTAAAGAGAAGATTGACTTATTATTATCCGTATTTATAAAAAAATTTCATATAAAAGGGAAATTGATTTTTAATCTAATTAAAACAAATAAAGCGGTTTATTTTTAAAATAAAATATACGAAATAAATAATGAAAGTCAAACAACAGACAAAATAGCAAGAAGGACAACAGAGAGACAGGCAAGCGGGTTTAACTGCGTCGCATCACCCGTCCCAATTCCCGGCGATAACTGCGTGCTGTTGCTTGTTCTAGTGGTAGAAGGTGCCGGAGGAGAGTGGCCGGACGGTGATGGTGCGTCGGCCGGCGGAGAGTTGGACGGAGGGGAGTTGTCGGCGCCATTGTCGAAACCTGGATTTAAAAATTTAAAAAAAAAACAAGCGATCACCGACAATGAACAAAGCCAGAAAATCGAAGAGAGGTTTTGAGGTGAAGAAATACTGAACAGTTCACTTCATTCCAGCCCAGAACCATCTTTTCACGATTGAAGACGATACGATGACCAGCCATGAAATTCACTGCCAGAAAGGGAGAAGCTTTTAAGTTCATAATCTTTTTCTTCCAACATCAACAAATAGCAGAGATGGGCACTCACGTCCGAAGAGATTAATATCAGTGCTCTTGGCAATGGTAAGACAAATGGCATGTCCACCCTTGTCCTGAAGCCCACGCGAACACCCAGATCAAGAAAAACCCAAAGGATTACTGAAAGAAAGCTTAAAAAGCAAAAGACTTGAACTGTTCAGATAACTCACATCGGTAGGAATGGCAACAAACATAGAAACAACGCCAAAAATATAGCCACTATCCATTGTAAAATTCAGATGCGGTTGTTGAAAGTGTGTTCCTAGACTGGATAGGAATGGATGGGAATCAGAAACGGAAGAACTTGTTCAAGAATATTTGCTAAAACCAACCCTCTAAATGATAGGGAAAAATTCTATATTTATACAAAGAAAATAGAAAGAACAATAACTTGATACACCATAACACGGTCTCAGTACACAAATATGATACAAATGTTAAACGACGAAAAATTATTATCATCTACTTACGAAAGTTGGTAGCAGTACTCAAATGGGTAATCAGAATCAAATATAGCGCGGTCTAATTCCATGGCTGCATCTATCTGCACAACAATTCTATATATAAACCAGAGATTCCATGAACTCATATGCCACTTCCCAGGATAATAGCTTACATTCTGAGTAACGAGAGTGTAAATTGGGTCAGAGAGGTACGTATAAGAGAAACCAGAGTCAAAAATTGTAGTAAATTCAACATTGTTGGGTTTTCCTGCCACAGTTATCTGAATGATGGTGACATTGTAGGATGAACTGCCACCAAACAACAGAATTCAGCTAGAAAAAACAGCTTATTATCCAGGAAAAATGAAGGACAGAGATTACAAAGTGAGAAGATCTTACGAGTGGGGATTGAGGGATGTTTCTCTCTGGTCTGATGGGCCTATGTCTCCAAAATCGATGTTCCCATAACCATCATATCCAAAACACATGGAGAATGAATCTGGGGTGAGATCTTGGCTTGCTAAGAGGGATGGAACTGATATCTTCCCCATGCCAAGCCCAAGAAGCCCATTAATTGCGATGCTGGAAAATATACCAGTTTGGACCTTACCACATCTGCCATCAAGAATCCCATTTAAAGCAACGCAATAACACACCAGATTGCAGATAGTTTCTATGAAAGATAGTATTGTTGACATTGTTGTAACGAAAGTCGAAGCAAGATCGATCGTACTCACACACCCACAAACAAAAATTTAATAAAGAGACACAAAGATTTGCGTAGTTCGAAAAAAAAATTCCCCTACATTCACGAGTATCAAAATGAAAGATGAACCAAACAAATATTAATACATGTGTAGGAGATGTATGCATTAGATGAACACAACTCTCCACAATGGTATGATATTGTCCACCTTGAGCATAAGTGGCTTTGCTTTGGACTTCCTCAAAATGCCTCATACCAATGAATATAGTATTCCTGGATTATAAACCCATGATCATTCCCTAAATTAACCGATGTGGGACTTTCATCTAACAGTATGAACCTATTCTTCTTAACAACTTACAACAAGTCATCTAAACATCATGAAACTACCCTAGATTTTGTATTTGGTTAGTTTCTTATGTTGACAGAAAGAAATGTATTAAGAACTAAACGAAATGTGTTCATAATTCAGAAGCATTTGATTCAGACAGAGAGATTCAACAGTTCTCACCCAAAAGTAATCTTGGCATCAACGGGTTTGGATTGTGAATCATTGGTGGCCAAGTGCAAGATATCTTCTACCAAATACCCAGAAGATGATGTATTGGGAGACGCATCATGAATCTTGTAAGGACAAGAACTTTTGTTTGAAGGGCATTGGTCTGCAAGCTCGCACAAAGAGTTGCTGCAGGCTACACTTCTGCTCGTTGTTGAAGCATTTGGGCTGTAATGATTCAACGTTATCTGAAGAAACATAAACAAATAAGAACATCAACTACAAAAATTTGCACTGTTCGTTTCCCGAGAAAATTGAAGAGGGCGGAAAGAAAATACATCTTCCCCATCTGAAGTGCCCACGGAAGTATGGCATTTGCTGCATTCACAAGGTAACCAGGACAAATCGCTTCCAGTGTCCAATGCCACTAAGAAACCTAACTCCGGCGTTCCCACAGATATATTGGCGTAGTAGAAACTGAAAAGCCAACAGGAAACAAATTAAAGCAAGGCAATCGGCCAAAGTAAATCGGAAAATCAACAGAGAAAGTAAGGTGCAATACTCTCCCAAACCGCCGTATCGGTAGGTGTGGTTGTCGTAAGAGAACGTCAGCGGCGTTTCACTTTTAGAGGTGGCCAATCGCCGGGCGTGAAGTAGTCGATCGCGGTGGACCATAGCCGCGTAATATCCAGGGGTGTGTTTCTCCAGTAAACCATCAGAGTTTAGAATCCCCTTAATCGAATCCGAAAACCGACGGTGGATATTGAACTTGAGCGAAACCACCTCGCCGGCGAGAAAGAAAATAGAAAGAAACAGTAGCATTTGGGCGGCGGAAGTGAATGTCGACGCCATGGACGCCGATTAGAGGATCCAAAAGTTTTCCGGGGTGAAGGAGATTTAAGGAGAAGAATTTAAATGGGACCAGGAGGACGAGAGGGTAACATGGACCGGAGGAATTTACGGATTCGATGTGGAGTAACATGAGAGTCAAACATTTCAGAAGAAGAAGACGACGAAATTATGATCTCTGTTGAGCAAAGTCGCCATTTCTCTTCGCGGGAAAAAAAATATATATATAGAGATATATATGTATGTATACATACACGCA